GTATCAGTAACAACGACAGCTCCGAGGCGAGTGCAACGTGTGCCTTTTCTTTTGGGCCAGGAAACATGGCGAGCCTTTTTCCCACAGAAAGGAATGCACGTTTTGGTGAAAAGCAGGCGATCACTTTTGATGATCAATAACCTTGAGAAGACAGGAGTGAGAGCTTTATTAATGTAAATCATTTATTATTTTCGTAAACTAGCTGATTTTATCTGTCAGGTAAACCAAACACCAGCATTCGAGCTTTTACACGGATCTTTTTCTGACACATGGAACTTCTGTAAACTCTTCTGAAGACGACAGTTTTCATGTCTGGCCTGTAGACGACACGGGCTTTTATAAACGTGTAACGGAATGAAATTACAGTTTTTTCCCCTCCTCTGCACAGGTCAAGAATAAGAAGAAAGAATAAAGTATCATTTCTATAGTGCCTCTCAAGATAAAATCACGAGGCGCTTCACAAAAACAAAAACAAAAAAATGGAAAAATACAAAGAAAATGTTTTAAAATATATTTAAAACGAGAAAAAATAGGCAACTGGGATTTAAAAGAAAAAATTTAAAGAAAGAGAGAAAGTGAACAGGAAAGAGGGAAATCAGTGGATCCTGAGGAAGGTGGAATAGGTGGGGAGAGCAGAATAAAGGGCCAGCTTGAACAGGTGAGTCTTCAGCTGCTTTTTAAAGGAGACCACTGAGTCCACTGATCTCAGGCTCAGGAGGAGAGAGTTCCAGAGTCTGGGGGCCACAGCAGCAGACGATCTGTCACCTTTGGTCTTTAGCCTGGTGCTGCACAACCAGTAGGCTTTGATCACTGGACCTCAGGGACCTGCTGGGGGTGTAGGGACTAAGAAGATCACCAATGTAAGGTGGTGCTTGTCCATGTAAGGCCCTATAGACCAGAACCAGGATCTTGAAATGAGCCCTGAAGTTGACTGTCAGCCAGTGAAGCTGGAGGAGAAGCGGGGTGATGTAGGTGTGTTTGGAGGACTTGGTCAGAAGCCGAGCACAGGTGTTCTGAACCACCTGTAGACGGTTCAGGGAGGTTCTGCTCAGACACGTGAAAAGAGAGTTACAGTAGTCTAAGCGTGAGGAGATGAAGGTGTGGAGAACTGTCTCAAGTTCAGAGCGAGACAGAATGGGACTCAGCTTAGCAATGTTCCTGAGATGGAAGAAGGAAGAGCGAACAAGAGAACTGACATGAGAATCCAGGGTGAGAGCTGGGTCAAAGGTCACGCCAAGATTCCTAACAGAAGGTTTGGTGTGAGAAGCAAGCTGACCAAAAGAGTCTCTGACTTTGGGAACCAGCTTGTCTGGGGCACAGATGAGGATCTCAGTCTTATCTTCATTCAGCTGAAGAAAGCTCCCAGCCATCCAGGTTTTGATAGAGTCTAAGCAGGTGTGTAACAGCTGCAGCTTAGACATCTCATGGGGCTTAAAGGAGATGTAGAGTTGGATGTCATCTGCGTAAAGATGGTAGGAGATTCCTTTGAAGGAGCTCAGGAGGTGCTGAAGAGGAAGCAGATAGAGGAGGAAGAGCAGAGGCCCCAGCACAGAACCTTGTGGGACACCATGGGTAAGGAAGGTGGTGGAGGACCTAAACTTGGAGACGGCCACAGAGAAGGAGCGCTCAGAGAGATAAGAGGAGAACCACTCCAGAGCAGATCCTGATAGCCCTATCCAGTCTCTCAGCCTCTCCAGTAGCAGGTGATGGTCAGCAGTGTCAAAGGCTGCAGTCAGGTCCAGCAGGACCAGAACAGAACAGTTCCCTGCATCACTGTGAGTCAGAAGGTCATTAGAGACCCTAAGAATTCAAGTTCAGTTCAAGTTTATTTATATGGCGCCAAATCACGACAAGAGTCGTCTTAAGGCACGTGACATACTAAAAATTTCAATTCAGGCCAGTTCATTAAGCCAATCAGAAATAATGTTTCCTATATAAGGAACCCAGCAAATTGCATCAAGTCACTGATTAGTGTCAGTGACTTTACAGCAATCCTCAGAACAGAACAGAACAGAAGAGCTGTTTCAGTAGAATGAGCTCTAGAAAAACCTGACTGGAAGCTATCATAGATGTTCTGTTCATCAAGAGCAGCTGTGAGTTGTTTAGCCACAACCTTTTCCAAGATCTTGGAGATAAACGGAAGTTTAGAGGTGGGTCTGAAGCTGCTATGGAGAGAGGGGTCGAGACTCGGTGTTTTAAGAAGCGGGTGGATTACAGCGTTCTTAAAGTAAGCAGGGACCTGACCAGAGACCAGGGACGCATTAATTATAGAGAGCACGCTGGGACCGATGGACTGAAAAGCACTTTTAAACAAAGATGAGGGAAAGATGTCGAGGGGGCATGCAGAGGTCTTCATAGAGTTAACTAGTTTGGTTAACTCAGGTAAAGAAACAGGAGCAAAGCTATCTAGGATGATGGGCCTGGTTGGAGTCTGGAGAGGCGGCGATAAGACTGAAGGAGAGATGCTAGACCTAACCTTATTGACGTTGTCCACAAAGAAAGACAGAAAGTTCTCACAGTCTTTAACAGAGTGGATGGAGGCTGTAGGAGAGGCAGGAGACGATGCTGCTGATGGTGTTAAACAGCACCTTGGGGTTCCCTTTGCTCTGGGACACCAGGTTGGAGAAATAGGAAACCCTGAAGTCTCTGACTGCAGAGTTAAAGGATGTCAGAAGATCCTTTAGGTGCAGCAGATGGACGTGGAGATGGGTTTTCTTCCACAAACGCTTAATTTTTCTGCATTGGCGCTTCAGGCTGCGAAGGCTGTCATTAAACCAGGGACTAGTCTGCATGAGATATGGTCTCAAGGTCTCATGCATTCCTTCTAACCTGCTTATTTTCAGCTCAACAGGAGAATGAAGAATGAACTCTTATCTTTTAATTAATCAAAGAACTCTATTTTAATAAAGCTAATCCAACCAAATGTTAGTCAATAAATAAGATGTGACCAATCTGTGAAATCAAAACATTAATTACTTTATTATGATCCTATAGAATATAATAAGTAATATGACTTTACGTGTTCCAACAGGACTGATTTCACGTTGCGTTAAAAGACATGACACATTACTTTCACTGATCCAATCAGAATCTGACAGATCTGATGGAGGCATGGTTTTGATGGTGTTTGGTAAAACCTGTCAACTTTTCATTCGACAATAAACCAAAACATCCGAAGTATAAAACTATGCCCACATCATCTCTAACGCCAGTTCAAAGCGTTCCAGAGAAGTTGTCGGAGTGGCCAATCCCCAACTCTCCTTTTAAACCGAAAGAACCAACGACAAGCTGGAAAATCCATTTTTGTTCCAACTGCTGCAACGGTTCCTTTCAGAATAAAAGCTGAACTTTCAAGACCCAGGCTTAGGTCTCACCAGACGCCAACAAATTGTCGTGACCCGGAAGGAACTCACAGACTGGTCTGGTCGGAAACCGCTGCTTTTCCTACCGGCTCGGTTCCAGAGAAGGTCAAGCTGGACCTCGACATTCCTGATCTAAAGGGGACTTCCTGAAGGGTAGGTAGACCGGCAAATGGCGTCGAATGTGTTTATGAACCTCCTAACCAAAGCTTAACGCGAAGACATCACCTTCAGTTCCCGTCAGAACTAATCGCTTCTTCAGATTTGCTGGTTCTGATCAACATCGCACGTCATCCATTCACCGTCTCATCCACTTTAGTAACACCATACATTTAGTTTTAAAGTCAGTCTAGTTTAATTTGTTAGTAATAAAATTCTTAACTTTTAAACTTGACTCTCTCTCTCTTCTGTTGTCTCTGAGTGAATACGAAGCGGTCATCTAATCCCTGCAATAAAAAGATCCAATCTTCTGGTTTAAATAACCTCACAGATCCGTAAGGTGGATTTCATATTTCCTATGGAATCCTACGCCTTATAGCTCAGTAATAATCATGTAATTTAAATCATTACAAACATAATATTATATTTATTGGAAATAACCAAGTGTCTTAAAATCGATTAAACAAGATCTAGCCCAGCGGTAGGCTATCCTGGTCTTGGAGTGCTGCCACCCAGCAAGTTTCAGAGCTTGATCACTTGGTTAACAGGTGAATCAACCATTCAATTAGATGTGCTGGAGCTAAAGCATGCGACATAGTTGCACTCCAGCCTAGCCCTGATCCAGCCGATAATGCTTCCATTTGTGTGGTGTTCGGTTTTCACTGTGTGAAAATGCTCAATATGCACACACAACAAATGGCTGTTGCACTTTGCCGTCTGGTGTAAAAGACGTCCAAGCTGAAAACTCTTTCCTGAGGCGACACATGACCTTTGCATTAGCCTGCTAGCTAACAGCTACATGTTATGTCTGAATCACCCGGCTACCCAAATCATGTTCCGTCACACTCACCCTAAGATCCACTTTTCCTACCTGCAAACGTTCAGTCAGTGATGCTTTCTCGTCTCTACCAGAGCTCCTCGTATTCCCACCGTCGAACCTTCGGCACACCGCACGGCCATCTATCTGCCCTATGGGATCCATCTGCTGCTGAGCCAGGCTGCCAGCCGCTCGTATCATCACCCAGCTCTCTGACTTTGGCGTTTGGGTTTGCTGACTTGCTACAGCATTTGCTGGTGGTCACATAAATCCTCCTCTCATGATCTTTCTTCAGTGTTGGTCATTTTAGTGGCTAGCCTACATGCTAGCTTTGGAGTCTGCTTCCAGCACGTTTCCTGTGTGAACACAGCTGATTTGTTTGATTTAGTGATGAATCACTCCTCTAGCACACAACAAGAAGAGCACACCAGTTAATTTTTAGGATTGTGAATTAAAACGGACACTAGGGGGCTGCTAAAAGCCAGCTAAAACGGCAAAACAACTCATTCTGGAAGGTACTGAAACTGTCGAGGATAAATCATAAATGTTACTGCTACACTTCAGTTTCAAGGGCGTCTCTTATGTGCACCCTTGACTGAAACAAAAGCTCAGTGAGTCACAATATCTCCTCCGTTTTTACTCATTCGGACAAAATCACCACAAGCTTTCCGTCTAAAAATCAGAGCTTTAATAAAAGTCGTAACACATCACATATCTCGAACACGACACCACCACACAAGACACGGACAAACAGTATTTATGCAATCAACAAGAACAAGGACAGATAATAAAGCATATAATAGTGGCTTTCATGTTTCAGAAACCATCATTGGAACCATTTTTAAAAAAGCTCAAAGTTCTGAACGGACACCAAGTAAGACATCCAATAGCAACACCGTCATTGAAGACACTACATAGGCACGAAAAACCAGTTTGATGGCACAGAGCAAGAGTTTCAAGTAATTTGCCAGAATATTTAATTGTTTCATTACTTGAATCCTAAAACAAAAATCACTGGGGAATTCACTGACGCTTAATTAGCTCAAAATGGCTTCCAGAGAGAATTTTCACGGGATAATTAACTGGATGATGGTGCAAAACACCCTGACAGGCACTTTCCACCAAGGACAAGCTCATGCAGCTGAGGTTAATAAAAACTTTAAAAATGATCATTTAGGCTTTCCAGAAACTTTTATATAGGAGTTTAGCGTCACGATGAAGGCCTCGCCTAGACTGTGGAAAGCTGTTAAAAAAGAAACGTCTACCAGCATTTTCTTTCCAAGGTGGCGGTTTATTTATTTATTTATCTTTAATTTCCTCCATGCGTAGATTTGGTCTTTTGTTAATTTTTCGGTATTTTTTTTAGAACTGTCTTGATGGTGTCTTTATACTTTGTGAGCTGAGATGGTTAATAAGAGGAATTGCAAAAGGTACCAAAGAACAAAGCAGATAAGTGAGAGCTTTCAGCCAAGCAAATGCTACGTTCCAGGCTCACACGTGGCTCAGTCGCGTTTAAGTTTCAAGTCGGAAAAACTTCAGTCTTTGCTGATTGTTGCCCTGTGGAAGCAGGCTAATTAGCATTAGCGATATAAATGGATAAAAGGGTATCTCTCATTCTTTACATTCAAACACCAACATGTTTCCAGTGTATTAACAGTTCTGTAAATATGACTGATTTATTCAATTATAATCTAATAGACATCAAAGCCTATTTGAACTTTAAAGTTGGTCACCTTCCATTTAGTTTATTATGTCCTCTTTTGATTCGACTGTCAACTTCATGCTGGTCTAACGACCCTCGACAATTATTTATTATTATATTAATTCATATCAGCCAGTAGGGGGAAAAAAAAGTTTGAGGAATTTTGGCCTTTCCAGGCTTCCGCACCTGTAACCTGGTTACGGAGGAGGGGTCCGTCTCACAAACAGGAAAAACACACTGTTGAAGCATCACCAACTAATGTAGGAGAGAGAACATGTGAGTGAGTCACCGTGGTAGGAAGCCCAGCTTGCTGTGAGCGAGAGTAGCGAGTGATCTGTGGCTGATGAGTGAAAACTAAAGAAAAACATTCAGGACTGAAGCTCCGTCAACACCGGCTGGCGAGACGGCTGCATTTCTAAATAAAGCATGTCATTTTGGCAGCACGCACAGCTCAGGGTTCTGGGAGAACCGGGCATGCCCGTCCGATCAACAGCAGGTGGAGCTCACCGCTCCGCCTGTCTCACAACCAGAGCGGGAAAAAGCACATGGGCTTGGATTATACAGACAGGATTCTGTGTGTGAAATAACGCCAGTTATATTATTACTTAAGTGTTGTTTGTGTGCATGTTGTTCAGTAGCTAATGCTATCATTAATATAATCGGGTTATTTAAATAAGCCCTACACGCTGTGCGTGATGCGCGTTTTGGGAGCGCAGGCGCTGGTTTAGCGTGAGAGATCGGAGGTGTGGCGTGAGGGCGTGTGAAGAGGGTCAAATGCGCGTGTCTCACGCTCAGTGCGTGAGAGTTGGCAGCCCTGCTGTGAGGGTGTGGGCCGATGATTGTCATCCATTGTAGATGTAGCTACAAGCTAACTAAGCTTACCGAAGCTAACGGAGGTTGGCCGGCACTTTACGCCAGAAAACTGCTTTTATGCGACTCTACTACCCTCTGCCATCTACGCTGTAACACTTTTAAAGTGAGGCCGATTTAATGAAAACAACAAAAGAAAATTCAAATGCAAGGCAGAGACTGAGGCCTTCCCTACACCAAGCACGGAGGCTAGCTGCTGGCTCTACTACTGATGGTTTATCTGACACCTGTCAATCAAAGTATTCACAATTTCAAGCTTAAATGACATCTAAACGGATGAGTCACTAAAAGTTCACCCCTCTTAAGAGTTCTCATGATGTTAAACGTGACCTTAATGCTTTTTGTAGCAGGCTGTAAAAATGTTTATTTCTGCTGTGAAGTTGGTGTGTATAACATGGGAGTCAATGGGAACTTACTGGAGCAGCCCCTAGAGGATGAGAGGGGAACTGCAATCTTTGTCACTTCCACGTTGGCTTCACTTTTGGCAGCTGGAGATTGCCCCTTGGTCTTTAAACCAATACATGATCAGACACCTTCGTGATTTCTGGGCTCTTGGAAATTCAGCCTTATAAATATTTAGAGAATTCACCATTAGAAGGTCCTTTCTCTGTATTTCATTTGTCTGTCACAAGGATGCTGTACCACCTAATGCAGTTTAATGGAAATACTAGTAATAATTTCTTAAGATCAGAAACAAAAGTGTATATTAAATTTTCCCATTGGTGTAGGCGAGGCCTTGGAGTGGCTTACAGGATAACTCATGCATGGAATGTGTTGAAGTTAAAGGAGTTGGAGCTCACAGACTGATCATTTGTCGCTCCTCATTAGTGAGTTAAATCACCATGGTACACCGAGAACATTTTCAGATAATATTTCGGACATATTTGACATTTTTAAACATCAATCTGAAAACAAAATACAATAATGAACATTCTTTGACCATATATAAATATTTTTCTCACATTTGTCTCAAGTCAAAAGAAAACGCATCAAATCAACCCAGAAACAAGCACAGAAACAGCCACCCTGCCAAAATGCAAGATGCACAGGCCTACTTTGTGACACTCATTGCAGAACATTAAAAGCATACAATTACATCATGCACAGGTGAAAACAATGTAGCTTCACTCGTAACAAGCATCTTTTCCCCTTTCTTTCATCATCTACTCCTGGCTGCCAGCTGCTAGTTAATATTCCCACTACACTTTCATCACCTTAGCTCAACTCCAAACTCTAAAGCTGTCACAGCCAGCAGCTGAATCCACGCCAGCCTCGCTGCACACGGAGAGATTTCAGCTTTTCATTTATAACCTCAGCCCTCTCAGAAGAACTCATTTAATTAAGTTCAGCCTGGTGATTTCACAACGGTGTTATTTTGTGCTCAAATACTTTTGCCTTTTTACCTCAGCAGTTAAAGAGAGAGGGTTCGATGATACGAAACCAAAACTTTTGCGATAAACGCGGACAAAATCAAAGTTAAAGTAACGCTAAATGGATGCTGTCTAGGGCCGAGGTGTATTTCAGAAGCAGTACATTCAAATTCGTGTGAAGTTTCTTGAAATAATTTCGGTAAGCTAACTGGATGTTGCCACATGCTAAACTAAGACACCCATACATTCAAAGCTGTATAAAAATAAGAATAGCTAGCTAACTGTTAAATAGCTGGTTAGCTAACCACTACAACAACATCATTGCTGGCACATTAGTTCTTTGCTTTGTGGCTTGCAGAAAGTATTTTTAGATTATAGATCTGTCGAGCTGTTATCGTGTCAGTATCTTACCTGCAGTAAACTGACACATTTTTGTTTGGAGAATCAAATATGTAACTGAGATGATTTCTTTATAATCTCAAGCTATTTTAGATGAGGAAAACCTTATGAAACATTATCTAAAATACGTGTTAAAAATGTTCTAAATCATATAAATAAAGGCCATCTTTCTAGTGACTCAGCCAAAGCTCTGAATATTTATAGTCTATGCACTTGTTTAAAGTCGCATGTTAAACGCTGCTGTTAGCTAAGATATTCACAGGTCATTAAATCTTAGCTTTGATTTGTTTCTACGTGGTTTTGTTTTCCTGTGGTTAATGGAAAATCAAGCTAACGGCTACTTAAGCTAGCTGCAGTGACATACTGCAGTGAGCACTATAGACATCAATATGGGAAACTGTTAGCCTGTTAGCAAGCCTAATTATATATGTGAATATATAGGGCAGGGGTCCCCAATCCTGGTCCTGGAGCGCCGGTATCCTGCCTGTTTTAGTTTGAACTCTGTTTCAACACAACTGATTTCAACCAGCAGCCAATTAACAGAGCCTGATGAGCTGCTGCACAGGTGTTTCAACCACTGAATCAAGTTTGTTGGAGCAGAAAAACCACAAAACCTGCTGGATACCGGCCCTCTAGGAGCAGGATTGGGGATCCCTGATATAGGGTGTTTCTCAATGACAAGGAACCTTGCCTTCATGTCTTGGCCCCACCCCGGTTGCCTAGGAGATACGTCATCGGGAGCCGCCAAGACGTGTTCCAATGTTCATGTTCTACCGAGGCGTGTGCTCTTCGTTTGTTAGCCGTTTAGCTAGCCGAGCAAGGATACACGGGAGGTGTCTTGTAGCCTAGCTTTGGTCAGAAATTACCCACAATACACCGCAGTATTTTCAAAAAGACGGCAGATCAGAAGCAGGCAGCTACTTTGGGGACAATTTTCAAGTTTAAAAGTAAGTCAAATAACTTCAAATGTTTTTTTTTAGATCCAAAGAAGTTATCTGTGGTTGGTTAGTTGCTTATTAGTTGCAGCTTTGGTGGCTAGTGGGTAGTAACTCGCTTATATATTTAATTTAATAAACATATACACAATTTAAAAAGTAAACTCGTTATATATTTATATTGAAACTAATACAAATAAAATATAACGTTATCTCCCGTGTCACGTGACTGCCGTGCCGGTCACATGATGCAAGTCTGTTCCATTTAACCGTTTTCTTTGACCAAGGAAGGACAGTGTCCTCGTAAGCAAGGCGCCTTGCAAGACATCACCTCACAAGGCAAGGTGCCTTGACATTGAGAAACACCAATAGTCTGGCCATGACCCATTGACAGCTCTCAGTAGTGGGGCGGGATCTACGCTGTCTCTGCATGCTTCTGGACAACAAACAATATGACCTTCTCAGATGCAGTAACATCCCGCCCGCCAAACCAACAGAGTGCTGTGACTGGCCCACCAAACAGATAGAGCACTGTGAATGGATTGCAACAAGGAAATCCACCATCCGCTGTCAAAAAAGACGCAAATACAACCTTTTCTAGATAAACACAAGCACCTTTATCTGCTCTTTACAACTAAATAGTCCAAAGTTGGTGCCAGAGCTGTTTCAAATTGGCCGCCACCATCTTTGTTTCACTCAGTTGTACTACCATCCCGCCCACTAAACAGATAGAGTGCTGTGATAGGACGGCACCGGACTGGGTGGAGCGTGGCTAGATCGACATGCAGGGCAACAAAATTTTTGCTCCGGCAACTGATGGTTTAGATCAGAGGACACCAACTCCGGTCCTCGGGGGCTACCATCCTGTTAGCTGTTTCTTTGCTCCTACACACTCGGTTAAACATGGTAAGGAGAAGATTAAATGACTCTATTCAGATGTGTTGGAGCAGGATGGTAGCCATCGAGGACTGGTCTAGCGTCTAGGCTAGGCACTGTCTCGTACAAAACTGAAGACGCATCACTGAATGAATTTGACCACAGAATATTTGATTAGGATATCACCATTTTTTCACACCAGTCTGGACCTTCTTGCTAGGGTCAAGCCCCTGCTGCTCTGGAACCTGGACAAGAAAAATACAGAGACACTTCCACTTGAGACAGGACCTCTCCCCTGACCGGGACCCTTTTCCAGGTGATATCAACAGGTAGATTGGGTCAATGGCTGCTGTGATGAAGAAACTAAACCTGTCTGTAGACCTAAACATGACCAGCTAATAGCTAGACACCTGTATGAGGATTTATCCTTGCTTCTCCAGACTGGTGACTACTGCAGGTAAGATACTAACTTCAATTTAAATGGAAGAAGCCATTTCAAGTTTTAAAGTGTCGTCTCAAATGTACAATTTAAACTTCCCTTAATAGATTTGTGAAGAGGCTGACCATAATTAAAGAGGTCTAAATTTGATCTCATTTTTCCTTGAACTGCATAATAAACACGTCTTTAAATGGGATCTGTGCCACGGGTGATCTTTTCTAAGATCAACTCATCATCAGTCACTGTGAACTCTTCTTGTGTTTACTACATGGCTCTCCCGGGTCTTTGGTAGCTCCGCCATAAACTTCAACCCCGCTCTCTATCCAAGGGACCACGATACCCTGGGCCACTGTGCCACATCGAGCCAGGCTGGTGATCTGAACAGGCATCAGAACCCGATCCCAAAGGCCCAACTGAGACAGTTCTCCAACCAAGGCCTGGGTGGAGTCAAAACCTCCACCCAGGGAATCCTGGAGAGAGATGATACTTCTGTCAGATGCTTGACTTATTCAATACTGTTGATGCCGAACAGCAAATATTCTGTCACTCACCTGCTCTTGGCCTAGTACGAGCACTCCTCCTGGTCTGATGTGATGTCCAGCAGCAAGGCCGGTACCCTCACCCCTCAGCTTCCCGCCCTGATAGGCCTGCCATGCTCCCCCCTTCTGGCTCCAGCTCACACAAATGTGCTGCCAGCTGCCTCGAGTAAGGTTCAGAGGCAACTGGGCCACCTAGAAAATAGGAATTGTTAGTGAAACAAGGCAGCTTCAAAGATAACCAAAGTAGATGAAGTCATCAGGAAGCTAAAGGTAAAAAGTCATGAAGATGGAAAGATTCACAACGACAATAAAACTTGTGTGTTTTTGACGTGATTTCTCTGCGAGCCTTTTCTCTGCCCCGCAGCGATGCTGCTCTACCTCGAAGCACGCCGTGGTTTCCCTCCATGAATACATTTCCATAATGACTTGGCTGAATTATACCGGAAGCCACCACGCCGCTCTACATCACCGGGCAAAGCTGTCAAGGTGCGATTTTAATCTTTCACCAGAACTCGTGAACAAGATTATTCAGCTTGTCTGGTGAGTCGTTAAGCACCTTTTCTTATTAAATATTCATTGGAAATTTAATTAAATTCTTACGTGTTTATGAAATGATCCATAAATGATTAAAACGTCTAAAACAGGGAGTTTTTTACAAAAAGTCATGGAAGGTGAAACGTCGTGCATGTCTTGGTTTAAGACACGTTTATTCAACAGGACTTTTGCAGGCTGTGAGAAAGCTTTTTAATCCAGGCAGATTTATTATGTTTGTGCTTTTTGACACACTTAAATGCTTTTAATCCACAAACAACTTTCAGTGTTAGACAAACGTAAGAAATTAGCATTGATTACTTAAAGTTTAATACACTGGTGAACACTAGTGCACCATTTTCAGGAACTATAAGTGAGCCACGTCGCAGCTGAGCTTCAGGATTTGGAGTGTTATTTGTGCACTAATGAAGGCTGGGGAGACATGTCTGTTTCTAGATTAAAATGTTAAACAGACAAACGCACAGCAAGGAGACACGGTAAGTTTTGCTTTTGATTCTACTAAACGAACACTAGGGGGTGATAAAAGCAAACCAAGACTGCACGGTCTTCCTCTAACGGACAGCGGGACGTCGATCTGTCGGGCTTTTCAAATCCTAGACTTTCACCATTTACAGGTGCCGGTCAAAAAAATTAGAATAGCATGACAAACGTTAAATAATTTCATTCAAAAAGTTAAACTTGTATGTTAGATTCATTAAATACACACAGACTCAAATGTTAATTTCTTTAACTTTGATGATATAACTGACATGACATCCATTCATTTTCGGTAAGCTTGACCGGGGTCGGGCCGCGGGGGCAGAAGCCTGAGCAGGGAGACCCAGACTTTCCCTATAGCTGACAACTAATGAAAATCCCTAATTCAGTATCTCAGAATATTAGAATATCACTTAAAGAGCAAGTCACCCCCAAATCAACTTTTTTTTTTGCTGATAAACTAAATAAACGAGTGTCTAATCGTGCTGCAGACACGTGTCGTCAATAATTTGGCACTTCAGTGCATCTTAGTTAAAATTTAAATTTTCTGCCTAAAACTGGCAGTGTTGTGCCGTTGTCAGGTAAAAACTCTGCACTGCAATTGAATTTAAATCTGCCACCGCTATTGGCTAAGAGGTATGCTATGATGTAAACTGGTGCATTATGATGTCACAATACCGTTGTGAGCCTGTGTGTGTATTTGTTAGTGGCTCCGCCCTCTCGGTCTGCCAGGCAACAGCATTTGTTACATTTTTGAAACATGAAGTGGGAGTGGAGTTAGACTCTGGTAGGGGGTGACTTGCTCTTTAAGTCCAATGCAAAAAAGCTATTTTAGAAATGTTGACCAGCTGAAAGTACGAGCATGTGAAGCACTCCGTATTTATCTGGGGCTCCTTTGGCCTGGATTACTGCAGCAATGCGGCGCAGCGTGGAGTCCATCAGTGTGTGCAACTGCTCAGGTGTTTTGAGTAGGGATGCAACAATACCACTTTTTTCCAAACGAATACAATACCGAAACTTGGATATGAGTACTCGCCGATACCGATACTTCTACCACACCAAAAAAATGCTATGAATTGGAATACAGGTTTTATTTTCTTCTCTGCTTCCAGCAGGAAGAGACTGTGAGGTAGATAAAAAAAAAAGTCAAATGTAAGAATAGAAATGATCACAAAACTAAAAGGTGAACACAAATGACAAGTTTTAGTGAAGCCACTTTCAGGCAACTGCATTGGTATCGGCTCCTGGTATCGGTATCAGGATCGGTATCTGTGCGTCCCTAGTTATGAGAGCCCGTGCAGCTCTGATAGTGGCCTTCAGCTCTTCTGCACAGTTGGGTCTGGCGTATCGCATCTTCCTCGTCACAATAAAAAGGTCAGGTCAGCTTGATGGTTAATCAAGAACAGGGACACCACTGGTAGCGTTGGCAGTGTGTGCATGTGCCAAACCCTGCTGGAAAATCAAATCTGCATCGCCATAAAGTTGGCCAGCAGCAGGAAGCGTGAAGTGCTCTACAATGGAAGTGTCCCCCCAAAGCGCTTCACAACACGCTCAGTCATCCACCCACTCACACACACTTTCACACGCTGGTGGGGATGAGCTGCGATGTAGCCACAGCTGCCCTGGGGCGCACGTCCTGGTAGATGGCTGCGTTGACCTCAGAAAACACAATGGACTAACACCAGCAGATGACCTGGATTCTGTCCCTGTCCTCTCCTCCTCCGGACTCTGGGACCTTGATTTCCAAAGGAAATGCAACATTTACTTTCATCAGAGAACGCAGCTTTGGACCACTCAGCAGCAGTCCAGTGCTTTATGCCTTTAGCCCGGGAGAGACGCTTCTGATGCTGTCTATGCTTCAAGAGTGGCTCGACACGAGCACTGCAACAACTGAAACCCACGTTTTGCCGAACGTTTACATCCATTCACACCACAAACAAGAAAGCCAAAAATATCCGTTGTGCAGAACTGCGGCGGTGCTCCGGCCTAGCGTCTTTCACGTGGATCTAAACTGTTTAAATTGCTGATTTTGTCCACACACCTGTCCCCAACGTCTTTATTTAACGTATCCCTGTATATTCCACATCCTTTTTGGGATTTGAACGTGTCGTTCAACACTTTATTTCTCCCGAGTCTTCTTCTCTGCGACGTGCTGGTTAGTTTCAGGGCGCGTTTACACTCGTGAGGCCGCCAACATGCTGCACACCTCCCAGAATGCTACGTGTGATCACAAGTCCAAATATTGGACATTTTCACAATTTTCTAATATTCTGAGATACTGAATTTAGGGATTTCATTAGTCGTCGGTTATAATAATCAAAGTTAAAGAAATAAACATATATATCAGTCTGTGTGTAATGCATTCATCTCATATACAAGATCTACTTTTGACTGGAAATACTGAAATAAATCAACTTTGTCCTGATATTCTAATTGTATTACAAGTATTTATATCAGAAGCTAATGCAGGAGATACATGTAGGAGACTATTTTCATGGTCAGCTTGAAAGAAAAACCCAGAGTGACCGATTATAATCAGAAATAATCATTAAAGAGCAAGTCACCCCCTACCAGATTCTTACTCAACTCTCACTTCCGGTTTAAAAAATGCAAAAAATGCTGTTGCCTAGCAGACCGAGAGGGCGGAGCCGCTAACAAATACACACAGTCACGACATTGTGACATCATAATGTACCATCTAACATCATAGTGTACCTCTTAGCAAATAGCGATGGCGGATTTAAATTCAAATGCAGTGCCTAGTTTTTACCTGACAACGGTACATCGCTGACAATTTTAGGCAGAATATTTAAATTTGAACTAAGATGAACTAAAATGCCGATTTGTTGACTACACGTGTCTACAGCGCGATCAGACACTCATTTATATAGTTTATCAGCAAAAAAATGTTGATTTGGAGTGACTTGCTCTTTGAAAAGGGGTTTTCAGTGTTGCATAACGACATCACAACCTTCAAGAAACACACAACCTCTGTTTTCAACATTGACCTCGACACGATCCTTCCACGGTTCCAGTCTAACAGCAGGAAGAGCTTCACAGACCTTATCGTTGACGAGCAGCTCGGCGGGGGTGTGCAGGCCCTGCAGGAGCACCAGCTCCTTTGGCTGCTCGGGAACGGCGTAGGATAAGGTGGTGCCGATACCCGCCCCCGTGGGCCGCAGCCACATGCAGGCGGTGAAGGCCCGAAGCTTCGGGATGGAGTGCTTCACCAGAGCAAACATGTAGCTGGTTCCAGCTGGGAAGGACAGTCTGTAGCCATCTGGGAAGGAATGTCCTGCAGCGTCTTTAAGGTTCAGAAGGAAGCAGAGAAACAGAGAGAATGCTGAAGTGACTTTTATTACTCTGGTGTGATGGAAGAGATTCAGCCTCTGTCATGTTTTTCTTATTTAACATAATTTATTCATGAATTACTTAAAACAAGCTCAAAAGGAGCCCTCAGAGGTCCTTTCCTTAAATATTTTGTTCTCCTTTTTTCCATCTGTACAATTACTGTTAATTATCGCTCATTTTTTCATGATATTTTTGTTTATATTATCATTTTATAATCTTATGATTTCACCCTTTCATTTAAAACTGCATCTGAATCTTTTGTGTTTTCTGATTTTAATTATCTTCTGTCTGTATTTTATGATATTTTGTTTTTAGGATCATTTTATGACTTTCTGGCTTGTCTTGACGGTCTCTTTCTGTGATGAGGGCTGTTTAAATAAACTTTATTAATCAGTTTCTCAGAAGTCTGTTTTATAATTAATCACAATCTGAAGATTAAGGCGGGCACAGGCCATGCTTCCGTCTGTCCCTTCCCTTTAATTCTCACCTTCCTCCAGGCCTGCGAGTCGGTGTTGTAGTTTATTGATGCCCCGGTCGATTTCCTGTCTGTGTTTCTCGGCTTCCAGCCTCAGGGCTTTTCTCTCTTTCTCTATCTGCTCCACCTTCCTCTCCAACTCTCCCTCCGCCTCCTCCATCCTCCAGGACCTGCCAGCAGCAGCGCTGTGCCCGGGACTGGCTGACCTCGCTGGGCCGTCTTCTTCTGCCACTTCTGAGGCGCCGCTGTCCGTGCGGTTGTGAGGAAATGGACCGATGTCTGTCTGCAGAGGAGAGAGAGATAGGATCAGAGTTTGAGCTTCATGGACTAGTGATCTCCTCTCAACTGCAGTTGGATTTAAACAATGATTTATGCACACTGAGTGCATTTAGTCAGGCCTAACACAGAAGTTTGCTTTTCTGTTGGCCTCAAGGTGGAGCCTGGAAGTAAAAGTAAATGAGCCATGTCTTTGGAGGCGAAGCAAAGAGCTAAAACAGAGTAAACATCGGCGCAGCCTACGCTTAAGGGAGCTTAAGGAGTCACCAGAATCACGGACTGATGGTGACCTGGCTTTGTTGCTACTGGACTTGTAAGTAATAATGTTTTTTGTCCAACTGTGTGGATCTTTTTTACTTTGTGGTTTATTTTAGTATTAGTTGGCTCATGTTAGTGTTAGCTCATTGTTAGTGCTAGCTGCAGTAGACTGCAGCAGGGTTGATTATGACAGTTGAGGATCTCAGAGCTTCTCAGCTTATAGCAGCCAAACAGGATGAGTGGGCATGGCCAGAAAGAGCTTGTTTTTTTTTAGCGACAAAACCTTGAAATGACCGGAAAAGGGTGGCTTGCCAACTCCGGGTCGGGGGAGAGGTCCTACCTCAAGTGGAGGAGTTTAAGTATCTCGGGGTCTTGTTCACGAGTGAGGGTAGGAGGGATCAGGAGATCGACAGGCGGATTGGTTCGGCGTCTGCAGCGATGCGGACGCTGAGCCGATCTGTCATGGTGAAGAGGGAGCTGAGCCAGAAAGCCAGGCTCTCGATTTACCGGTCAATCTACGTCCCAATCCTCACCTATGGTCATGAGCTTTGGGTAATGACCGAAAGAACGAGATCGCGGATACAAGCGGCCGAAATGAGGTTCCTCCGTAGGGTGGCCGGGCTCAGCCTTACGCCGGGGACACACTGGCCGCGGAAGCTCCGCGAAAATGGGACCGCCTTCATTCGGCGCCCTTGTTAAGCTATTCTATAGACCACATGGGCCGCCGAAGCACCGCGAATCGCCTCGCTCCAGCCCGCGCCGTGCAGCGATCATTTCGGCGTTGGCTCTATTTTTTTCGCAAGCCGCGAGTGAATCGCGTCAATTCTGGCAGGAAGTCAAACCTAGACATAAGAGGCAGGCCGGTAAAGTTAACAAAATAAAGCATTTCAAAATAAAATTCCGCAATAGTCAAATGTGTTCATAATCAGACACTGCAGAAAAACCACACGAACACACACACACATACACACACATCAAACTTGTGTGCGTGTGTGACCACGTGAAGGGGTGTGTGGTTTTGGGTGTCTTTTCACCGGAGCAAACAGGACAGGGAGGCAGAAAGTCTGAGGCAAGCAGTTAAGATGGATGACTTTAAATTAATTATGGAAGTTGAGAAACACAAGGAGCTGTACGACCCCCGAAAAACGGTTATTTGCGTACCCGTTTCTGAAGAAACTGCTAGGATACAGCTGCAGAATTGGAGCGGGTTCCAAGAGATTCAACTGGCAGAAACAACTCATACCATAGGTTCACACACACACACACACACACACACACACACACACACACACACACACACACACACACACACACACACACACACACGCACACGCACACACGCACACACACACACACACACTCAAACGTAGAGGAAAAGAGCTGAGAAAAGGCAGAGAGGAAATGGAGGACACCAAGTGTTTAAAAGAAAAACTACAGCTGAGCCGAGGCGCGCCTCGACTGGGGCGCGTCTGATCTGAACTGAGGAGCGGCGAGCAGCGGCCGAATTTCGTGAGCGATTCGCTTCTCGGCACTTCCGCGGCCGGTGTGTCCCCGGCGTTAGAGATAGGGTGAGGAGCTCGGACATTCGGGAGGGACTCGGAGTAGAACCGCTGCTCCTCCGGATCGAAAGGAGTCAGTTGAGGTGGTTTGGGCATCTGGTCAGGATGCCTCCGGGACGCCTCCCCGGGGAGGTGTTTCGGGCATGTCCTGCCGGCAGGAGGCCCCCGGGTCGACCCAGGACACGTTGGAGAGGTTACATCTCCAATCTGGTCCGGGAACGCCTTGGGGTCCTGCCGGAGGAACTGGTGGAGAAGGCCGGGGAGAGGACGGTCTGGAGCTCCCTAGTTGGGATGCTGCCCCCGCGACCCGGACCCGGATAATCGGAGGAAGACGACAATGACGAAAACCTTGAACCGGCTCCTTCTGGAAGGTTTGGAAACTGTCGAGACCAAAACTCCTGAAATCACTTTCAGAAATCACTTAAAGGACTTCATGAGCATTTTTTGTATCAACAGTAGGAAAAGTCATCTAAAACGTATTTTTTTATAAATCGAACGCTGTTGTCGACGTCCACCTGTACACACAGAGAGAGCTCCATGCTAACACCTGACATAAAACAGATGGCAGCAAAATGTTTAGAAATAAATCACATATTTTTCTCATTTTTATGATATTTTAAATCTTTATTTATTTATTTTTTGTTCTAGTGAAACACTTTATGATTTTGATCTTGAGAAGCGCTTTAGAAAAACATCGTTTTCTTTCTTCTTTCACTTAGAAACGTAGGTATCGAAACTGTTTTATCTTGATAGCGTTTTCCTATGGGCATGACGGGGCACAGATTAGCTGTTAGCTCATCTGCTTTGTTGACCATAAATAGGAGTAGCAACTGTTTTAGCTAAAACAGTCCATGATTTAATCTCATTTGGGTTGTCCCATTTTCATATCCACTATTTTCAATTTTACCTGCGCTGCTACTTCATTTCAAAGCCTCGTGACAAATGTGTCATTTTACATGCAATCTCCATTTCTCCAAACAGAAGCCACTCTGGAAGTCAACGAGTGGATTTAACTAGGTTTCATTAGTGCTAGTGGACAGAAATAAACACATTTGATGGGTAAACATTCTCCTGAACCAAAATATTCCCACAGAGTCTATAAACACACCAGAAAATGGCTTTTTCAAGGTTCCCACCCAGCCGAGCTAGCTGTCGGTGAGCTTTATGCTAAACAGATATGAGGGAGGGGGATCATCCATCCATCCAGTAACCCATTGGTCTAAACTTTCATGGTGTTTTAATCCTTTACTTTGCATCTCGCAGCTTACTGCAGCTTATGTAGAACTGCGGGGCGGTTTAGCAATGTCGTCCTGATTCTGCATGGAGCTACGACAAAATATTGGTCAGAGAGACAATTAGAAAAATGTCCTTATCACCAAACTAGGACAAACCCCATTTAGATGAAACATTCATCAAAAAAAAAAAGACTAAAATCAGGAACAAATAGTTCACAGAGAACAGAGAGAGTCTGCAAGTCTTGCATAAACCTTCCAGTCTTCCTGTATTCACTGAGATTTCCTAAATATGTAGATGCCCCCAGGGAAAGCTGAAGTACACATACTTTACTCAGAGTCTCCCAGAGTCCTCCATCTAAACCCAGAGACTCGAGGAGAGACAGATATCTGCTCAGAATGTTAAAAACTGGCTTTGATGTTTGAAGAAAAACTGTTTTCAAAGAGACCAGAGTTTTGTGGCGGGTTTACAGAAACACACCTTCAGTTGGAAATCTCTAACTCACCCATCAGTGGGCTTTGGAAAGAGCCGGAAAACTGGAGTTTCCAGGAGAAACCCAGGCACACGGGTAGAACGGTAAACTCCTGTGAGCAGAGATGACATCCTGAACCCTGCATCCATCACTGATGATGTCAGCGAGGTAAGTCCTTCCCTTTTAATTTAGCTTCATCAACGCAATCACCGACATTCTTGAAAGACTGAATAAAAAACAAATAAATCACCTTTTTGATTTTATGGATCATTTTCTGTTTTTCTGATATTTTGTTATAAAAACAGACTTAAAATTTAAAAAACATCTGTTCAAGTTTTTCTTTTGTGTTCTGGAGGGTTAATCAGCTGTGGCGGCCATCTTGAATGAAATGTACTCCAGCAGTTTGGCCCGGCCGCCAGGTCTTAATAATCACACTTCAATACTTGCGGCCAGGGGCGGCGTTAGGCCCGGCTACTTGGGCTCAAGCCCCGAATGTTTTATTAAAAGCCCCGGATCTAAAACGCGGAAGTAACATGCAGTACCAAAGTCCAACAGAGAGGGAGCAGCTGGCAGTAGTTTGTATACAGCCTGCCTGAGCTTCCACCACTGAAGAAGAAGCCCTTCAGCAGCCGGCTTCTTCTACACTCTCTGCCTGAAACGCATGAGTGAAGATGGACATAAGGACGTTTTTTAGACCAAAAGTACGGCGACAGAACCCCGGCTTTGATGAGACTGGTGTTGACTCAGGTTTGTGAGTCTTATTTGAAAATATTTGTTGTGCTGCTGGTTTGCCTAAAGTTAGCTTACAATCAGGTAAAGTTGATGGAGAAAGAAAGGGAATATTTACTATCATCTCACACTAAACACTAACAGGAACAATACTCTGCCCTGAATATGCTTAATATGTAGCTTCAGATTAAAAATTATGTGGTACAAGACAAATATGTATGATGTTGACTAGTGCGTGTCACGTGCGTGTGCGTGCGCGTGTTAAGCCCCGGATCTTCTTCAGTCCTAAATCCGCCCCTGCTTGCGGCCCTCAACTGTGCAAGTCCCGATTCTCAAGGGTGTTCTCGCCATGCATGTGTGAGCTTTCTCTGGGTACTCCGGGCCCAAACGTGCCTGCCAGGTTCCTAAATGGTCCTTGTGTGTGTGTGTGTGTGTGTGTGTGTGTGTGTGTGTGTGTGTGTGTGTGTGTGTGTGTGTGTGTGTGTGTGAGACTGGTGTCCCAGTGCTGGACTGGAGTTCTATCCGGAGTGCTGGAGACAGGCACCAGCCCGTGACCTTACTGAGGAAAGGCAGATGAAGTGGTCACTGACTGTAATTAGCTGTTTCTACATGTGAATCTGTAGCAGATGAACATCACATGATGACTTTACGATTTTCATCCAGCGGTTCATGAGATTTCCTGCTAAGAGATTAAAAAATATGGATGTGGAAAACATCTGGAATTTAAGTCCCTCTGAGTGCACGGACAACCGTTTTCCATGAAGGTGTTTGCTGTGGGAGTGACGCTGCAGGTGCAGGATCAGCAACGAACAGCTGCAGACGTGCAAGAAGCAAGCTTTTAATGCGAGTTCGTCTGCACACCGGCGCTGATGCAAACATCCACACATGTTAGTGAAGTGGGTCAAACCTGACTCAGGTGGTGCAAAGAGAAAGTGATGATGAGGACAAAATCAGAAAAATAAAACCGTGCCCTGGGGTCAGGAGGAAGGAGCTGGGTTTCTACCTGAAGAGTGAACTAACCTGTAAAATGGAGAGACTTGTTGACGAGTTCCTACAACATCTAATTATTTATTCCTGTGCTTCTTTAGGTAGAAATGAGGTTATAAATGACCAGATTCTGCTGTTTTGTGTCTCCTGCTGGAGCCTCGGTGCTCCCCCGCCTCCCCTCTGCCTCCCCCACCACATATTTTCATTTGGGTTTGACATTTCAGTCTCCTCCTGCGTGATGGTAACCTTTTCAACGCCATCATTTGTTCTATTAGTAGGTAAATCATGACGGAACAGCGTGTTCATCAGCTAGATGTGTAAAAATCATTTTCCTGAACCTACAGCACAAATAAAAGTGGTGGATAAATAAACACAGCTCACTGATTTCAGGTTTTAATTATCTTGTGAATGACCAGAGCGTCCGCGTGCCGGATTACAGGACGCTGTTAATAATCTGGATTGGGTTGATTTAAGGTTTTCTCCATGCTGCCCACCTCCAGTCTCTCGATGCGGTCCTTCAGCTGGATGATCGCCTGCTCCAGCTCGTCCACGGCTCCCACCGTGAGCAGGTGGCCCCCGTCGGGCGCCGCGGAGGCCGGGCTGTCCCGCACCATCATCCGCTCCAAGTGCGCCTCCTTCAGCCCCCGCAGCCCCACGCCGTGTCCGCGTCTCTCCACGCTGCTGCTCCTGCCTCCGACTCCCTTCTCGCACTCGGAAAGCTTCCCAGTCAGCTCCCTGATGGTCCTCTGGTCGGTCAGGATCTGGTCCTTCTGCTGCAGGACCGTCTGCCGGAGCTCCTCCGCGGTGGTGCGGAGGTAGCCCCAGTCCTCCCCAGCGTACAGCGACGGGTCCTCCGCTTGTTGCTGAAAGTTTCTGGTGTTGCACTCTCCAGCGGGGATCGGGGTGCAGATGAGCCGACTGAACGTGGGGTCGTGCCCGGTGAGTCCGGGGACCCCATCCAGCCCGCTGTTGAAGGTGGGCGCTTCCGAAGCGGGCGTTTCAGAACCATGGAGAGCTCCTAAGGATCCGACTCGGGCCACTGAACCCCCAGAGGCGGGGCTCTGCGCCGCCGCGTCCGGGTACAGCGAGTGGTTGTCGGCTGCAGGCTGCCGCTGCGCCGCAGCAGCCTTGGAGGATCCGGTGTGAACGGCCGCGATGATGCAGATTACAGCCCCGACGAAGGCCACCATCCCGGCGGCCAAGATCACAACGATGAACTTCAGGGTGGCGGCGGGGGCGAGCAGGTTTGAAAAAATCTATCACACTCCTTCAACAGGAAACCAAAAGCTGCACAACACCGGAAAAGTAGGAGAACGGAGCGATCCGAGAGCGAAGAAGGGATTAAATCCTCACTTTTTCCACAGAAACGAGCGACGAGAAACGCAGAGTTTGAGTGATGATGGAGTCAACACAACCACTACACCTCCTCTGCTCCTCCACCGCGCATGCCCTCCTGCTCAGGCGCAATCCAGCTATTAATACTGAGGGAGGGTGAGGGGGCGAGAGATGAGGGAGACGCGGAGAAATCACATCCCTCCAGGTTTGTAGCAGATTTAAAAATTGATTTTCTGTTCGGAGACCTCAAACATCAAAGGCTTTTAGATATTTAAAACTCCTCTCCAACTTTAAAACCGCATTTTTAAACGTCAAGACAACATGGAGTTCTAGTTGTTTCAGATCTCACGTTTTATCACGAGATCTTGTGTGATGTGTTAGCAATCACACGTGTTATTAATGACCTGCTATGATGTCACCAAATTGTAGCTCAATATTTATAATTAGCTGAGTTATCGTGTTTTATGTTGGGTAACAGCAGGTCACAACATTTATTCTGTAGCTACGGTTGTTTTCTAAAACCTTTATGAATCAGTTTTAAAGGTTGACACGTCTACTTCATGGATTTTTAATTTGTCTTTAAAGTTGTTTCTATTTATAGAAAATTTTAGCCAAGGTAGCGGGGGAAGGGAGCCGATAAAGCTTTCACCTAGAAAACAAAGATGTTTGGGGTATTAATGAGAAAAACGAAAATATTCACAAAATAAAGACAGAAGGGAGGGGGGGGGGGGCAGCTTCAGTGGGAGGCGGTTGCCCCCCCTTGACCCGCCCCTGCCACTGTTTTTTAAATGATTCAAATTCAGAAATTTTTATTGGTCCCAACGGGCAATTTACTTGTAGTATACCATAAAAACCATCAAACCATCAAAAACAAGAAACAACACAACATCAATCAATCAATCAATCAATCAATCAATCAATCAATCAATCAATCAATCAATCAATCAATCAGTCAATCAATCAATCAATGTGTCCCTACCAAATCACATTATTGATGGTGTTGTCTAATGTTGACCAGCTGCAGTCTGACTCCTTTGTTTATTTCAACAAATCGGAGCCGAAGTTGAGCGACCTTGTTGCATAATGGGCGTTGAGTTTGACTTTATCACTCCCAATTAGGTCATTATTATTAGCCTTACATACTTTCATCAAATAAATTCAATCCAAAAAGTATTCATTTGTATTTTCATTACTTTCCAAAGGTTTTACGAAGATTCATTCAGTGGTTCATGACATGTCCTGCTAACAGACGGGTAGTTGATTCCAATAGCAAATAATTACCTGAAAGACCAAGTTTCCTCATTTGTCCGCACATCTGGGATGGTCTCTAGTGTACATCAATGCCTTGTGAGTCAATCTGTGCTGGGAAAATAGCTCTGGTGCTTCGGTTTGAGGAAGTAGAAGTCAGCCGGAGTGGAGGTGAGCTTCAGACGGCAGCATTCGGAGTGTTAGACCTCTCACCTCTGATTGGTTAACAGCAATGCGACTCTGGAATCACAGAAAATCATGGAATTGTATGGAGAAAGAGGGCAAGCTGTAGTATTGATTGCACTAACAGATCATCCGAGAAGTTTCTTCTTTTCATCGGTACATAAAGCTATATTTCTGTACTTCATTTTGCTGGATGGATGGGGGAATGCTCGATCAAAATGGGCTGAAATATGTTGTGTATGTGGGGCTGGCTACTGAGACTCGGTACTGTTTTCCTGGGTCGGAGCCAAGCAGCAGCAGAAGACTTAGGCCCCCCACCGCAGGTGGTCCCGCAGGTCTCCGACCGCTGTGGAGGAGTGATGCGTGGGCTCAGACCGCCCGGGCACCCAGTCTCAGGCTGTGCCTGTCACCTGCGGAGCTCTCTGAGGGAGACCACAGAAGCTCTGCAGCTTGGTGAGGCGGTGCAAGCTTCACGTTAAAGTAGCTCAGTTATGATTTTCTGGCTTAAAGAATTTGCAAGCCTCCTTTAGCTTTGGTTAGCTCAGTTAGCGCGTAGCTGGGAACAATGGTGGAGTCAGATCCTCAGCATTCTGCTCTCAGCTCTACCTCTGCCCACTTTCGGATTATCTGGGCATGACGAGACGTGCGACGCAGCCAAGATGGAGGTGATCGAAACCGCCCACTGGGCTTCAAATAGGCCCCTCAGAAAGCTGTTGGTGATGTCACGGAGGGGTTGTCTGCTATTTTAACAGTCGATGGTTCCAGCAAAGTTCTCATGCAATGATTTTATACAACTAATGATGAGTCCCAATACCACCCTGCAGCCGACAGTCCTCTACAGTTCACTTGGTGAGAGTGCATGTGAAACTTTGAGTGTGAAAATAATTGCAGAATTGGGACCATGAGAACTGAGTCATGGACAAGGTTGCCACCAAGGGGTGGACAGGGGTGGCCATGGCCACCCCTAGGAAATTGCTGCCCCCCCCCCCCCCGGAAAAGCCAGTATTAATAAATCATATTAATGTTCACTCAAACCATAAATTGATCTTGTTTATTCAAGACAAAATTGTAAAACTAAATAAAAATAATAAAATTATCGAGTAAAGAAAGAATCTGAATTTTAATAAAATACATGTTCCTGCTGCTCACCGTTTTAAAAATGTTTTTGCCTCCGTAGAGTTTTGTGAACACAGCAACAGGTGAATTAAACAAAAATAAAAACATTTAAAATAAAATTAGAAATGACTGAAATGTAGTTTTTCTGAAATATTTGTGTTTGTAAAGTTTAAGTTAAATGTTTTGAATAGATACACCACAGGCTAAACTCTCCCAGAGTTACCACAAGGACCAATTTGGTGTGCCACCCCAAAAATGTTTTTGGCCCCATCTGGCCACCCCTGTCAAAATTTTCTGGAGGCGCCCCTGCTCATGGACCACGACATCCTAAATGAGGATGCCGGTGCTGTTTGTGCTACTTTGCTGTTATAATACTAAAACTGAATGATATAGTTGAAAAACACACACCAGTACTATCATCAGGTAGTATCTGCATCTTTCCAAAAGAGAAACCTTTGATTCTACTCGTGCACACCAAAATATTCAATGTAGATCTGTAGAAAGAACACAACTTCCTGCTGCTGAGAGGCAGGAGATAATCAGGTATGTCCTTCATTTAACACACACACACACACACACACACACACACACACACACACACACACACACACACACACACACACACACACACACACACATACATGCACACACACACACATGCACACACACACACACCTAATCAGCAATTCAGCCTTTGTAAAACATGCATTAATCTTTCGGCTCATCTGCACGTCTCACTCGTACGGCTACATGAGCATCTATAATTCCCAGCTTCCTGTGGGACCGCTCCACGGCGGCAGCACAGAGACTGATGACCCTTAATGTGAAAAACATGCAGCGGCTATCAGAGAAGGTTTAATTCCAGCACGCTTTCCTCTCCCAGAGAGTGATTAACACCCGCTGATTACCACTCATAATGAAAAGAAAACAACGGCGAGCACCAGAGAACAAACAGGATGTCACGGGCGGGTGCGCGAAACCAAACGTCTCTGGTGTTTGAACTGGAACGGCTCAAGGCTGTCTAAAACTGGGGTTTTGATCTTGAACAGGAGGGCTTTAAGATATACATCTCAAAGTCGCAGGAGCTGAAAGCTCAGCTGACAGCAAGTTCTCAGGCAGAGGAGACCTTAAACATGTCTGCCGACACCAGAACGAGAGGACGAGAAGCACAGAACAGGCTCAGAGCCATGGAAGTAGTTTTCACTTTAGAAGTGTGTGTGTGTGTGTGTGTGTGGGGGGGGGGGGGGGGGGGCACACGGGAGGGGAGGTGTGTGTGTGTGTTATCTTCACAGAATGTTCTAATGGGAAACAGGCTTCAACACAAACGGTTGTTTTCCGCTTGGTCCTAGAGCTCAACCAGTGTCAATTTAATATAGCGTAATATTGTTTTTGGATGGTAAAAAGTGCAGGAGTCAAAACTTGACCTTGGAAAAAGTGTGTGTGTGTGTGTGTGTGGGGGGGGGGGGGGGCATGTCCCCCCCAAAATTACGTCCATGCTCAGAGCAGACGGTGATGTCTAAACGACTCAGACCCTCACCTCCAGGTTCCTCCAGCTTGACTCCAGTGAAGGTGTTGGACCATCTCAGCGGTGATTTGTCACACCAAAGGGTCTGAATACGTAGGACCATGTGATCTTCCAGTTTGTCTTTTTTAAATTAGTCTGCAGAAATGTCTAAAAATCTGTGTTTTTCTCTCAGAATGGGGCGCTGTGCGTAGTTAATGAGGAAAAAATATGAATTTAATTGATTTTAGCTAATTGCTGCAATATAGCAGAGTGTAAACTTGACAGAATACTTTCCAGACACGCTGTAACTAAACATGGCGGCCATGTGGATCCTTCATGTTCGCTGAGAGGTAACAGAAGTGCGTTGTTAGTGAACGAGTGATGTTTTCTGCTGATCAAGCCGTTTTGAGACTCTGTGAAAAGGAAATCGGATCAAATTTGACAGTTTCTTTGCAGAGATTTCTTCTTTTAGTGGAAGTTTTCTATTGAAGGAAGAGGATTAGTTCAGCTGAGATGTTTTATTTTACTGAAACCCTGAGATGGACTTCCTCTAAAACAGGAAACCCGTTTAGTTGTTGAAGTAAAGTTTTCTCCTCTTTCCTCGCTGACACGTTTAATCTCATTCGTTCAATCGTTCAATCGTTCATTCATTCATTCATTCGTTCTCTCCCAGCTTTAAGGCTGCCAAATTTAAAGGACCATTTATGTTATTTATTTATTGTGATTTTGTCTTGATTTGGGATATTTTCCTTACTTTAGTAAGTAATCAAGTTCCATATTGATAAAGTTACTACTGCCTGCTTTCACACCTACAACACATAACCAGATGGTGATGTCATGCTCACGTGTCGAACGTCCGCTGAGGCCTGGCCAGCTATAATTAAAAAATGCAAGTAAACATTGCCGGCAGTAAGTCGGGCTCCGCCAAGGCTGCCCTTTGTCACCGATTCTGTTCACAACTTTTGGAAACAGGGTTTCTAGGTGCAGTCAAGGTGTTGATGGGGTCCATTTTGGTGACCTGAGGTCAGGACTCTGCTTTTGTTGGCATCATCAGAACGTGATCTCTCACTGGAGCGGTTCGCAGCTGAGTGTGACGCAGCTCTTCTAAATCTGAGACCACGGTCCAGCCTTCTCCAGACCAGGGACGAGGTCCTGCCCCGAGTGGAGTTTAAGTATCTCGGGGTACTGAGTGGTGCTGCTCCTCCACATCGAGAGGAGACATTTGAGGTGGTTTGGGCATCTGGTCAGGATGCCTCCCTGTGGTTTTCTAGGCACGTCCCAGGGACCTTTGGGAGGAGACCTAAAGGTAGACCCGGGACACTCTGGAGGGACTATGTCCCACCTGGCCAGGGAACACCTTATGTTTCCCCCAGAGGAGCTGGCCCAAGTGGCTGGGGAGAAGGAAGTCTGGGCTTCTCCGTCTAGGCTGCTGCCCCCGCAACCCGGCCTTTGGATAAGCGGACGGTAATGGATGGCAGGTAAACTTAGGAATTCTGATGCAGTTGTCCGGGAGCTTCTGGCTGTTAGAGCTGAAGCACACATGACCACATGATTCATGGGGACTGTCAGGGTCAGCCGCCTTTTGGAGCGGCTCATATGAACACATTACATCCACGTTAAAAAGATGCCCATGCAGTGCATCGGCAGCAAGGGCACCATCTATACCGCCATGACATAATCTCACATGAGCACACCACAAAACCGCCACAGGCTGACCATTTAAGAATGACCAAAGGCTCCCTCACGCTGCCTCCACTTGTGGTGCCGTTATTTTATGAAACAGGTAAGAGAAATGAACCCTAACCCTGAAGAGTGGTTGGAGCATGGAGGATGTGACACGAGGAACAACTGATTAAAATCGAAACAGAGGCAAATTTTTTTTGATAAAATGCAGAAAAGTACGACTGAGACTGAAATTAAGCCTTAAATCGACACTAAAAATAGCGATCTGGAGCTCCATACCTGATAGGTATGCTCATCATCATCAGACCGCTCATCAGCGGTGTAACACTGTCGTTTGTGAAAGAGCAAACACGTTGATGCACTGAACCGTGCACCTTTCCAGCATTTCATCATGACTGCTCTGCTCTGGCGGTTTAATTGCTGCCGTTTAGATGATCTGCTGTAAGAAGCTTCTGACATGAAGGCAGCAGGATGCGCTGCACGTGTGCAGGAGCCGTTGAAGAGCTGCAGTAAACATTTACTAGAGCGTTGCAGCTGTCTGCAACCAGCCGTCAGCTTTCTGATGCAGGGCTTTTACCCAGAATCAGCACCAAACTTCTGGAATCGGACATTTTTTATGTTAAGCTCCACGATCAAAGTCAAGAGAAGCTGAAATGATCACCATTGAAATGTTGCTCAACTGGTTTGTGGTGCCATCTGCTGTGCATGTCTGTCCTCGTGTTGGCAAGGAGTCCATCCATCCATTGTCTGAACCCGCTTTGTCCACTAGGGTTGCGGGTGTGTGTGTGTGTGTGTGTGTGTGTGTGTGTGGGGGGGGGGGGGTCTATCTCCAGCGGTCAACGTGCAATCAGGCGGGGTACACCCTGGACAGAGAGCCAGTCCATTGCAGGGCAAGTCACTCACACCTAAGGACAATCTAGACAGACCAATTAGTCATTTCTTTGGACTGTGGGAGGAAGCCGGCTCACCCGGAGAGAGCCCACGCATGCACAGGGAGAACATGCAAACTCCATGCAGAAAGATCCCATGCTGGGAAGCGAACCCAGGACCTTCTTGCCTTCAGGCAACAGCTCTAACCACTGCAGATGAACAGGATTCACTGTTGCTAACTCTACTTCCTGTCTGGATTCTTTATGTGCAAATTAACCACAACACGATGTCGGCGCTCATCACTACAGGCAGTGGAAAGAAGGCATGTAGCTCTGAGTCTGCAGTGGGTTCAGGAGGAGTTCACTGACTCTGACCAGCGAGAGAGAGAGAGAGAGAGAGAGGGAGAGAGGGAGCAGGGAAAAAGCCCAACGGCTGGGACTAACGAACAAGATCTGTGGGATTGCAGCAGAGGGGTTTAAGATCGACATCAGAAGTGTTGATTTTTGGGTGCAGCAACGAACACGGACTGGCTGGTTTAGTCCTGAGGGCTCAGGAGAGCCGTCCTCTTCTACAGCGTGGCCTTCATACATTCCCTGCCTTCAACGTTGCTGCTAAAAAACACACCAGTGCCAAGTTGCCATCAGAACACACATGGACTACCACGGGGCAAAGCAACGAGACATCACCAGTTTATCTTCTGTTTACACACATCAGCAGAAACACGCCTTTTAAAGGTAACTGGTGTGTTTCAGGCAAGCATATAAAACACACAAATCCATTAAAGTGTGTGTTTTTCCTGGCGATAGGGGGCAGTGCCTACCTAAATCATTACAGTCAAGCTGTAAGACAATACCAGTGGATGGCCATTAGGGTCAAAAATCCCAAGGAGCAAAACTTCAGCAGAATAATAAGAACATCAGACTAACTTTCATCACTGGCAACGTCTTCAAGTGAGTAAAACTCCAGTTCTGTTTACCTTAGGCCAGCGGTTCCCATTCCTGGTCCTGACAGAGAGGAAATGATCTCTGTCTGGCCCCAAAACAATTTCTAATCGGAATCTGGCGTCCTTGAGCCTGCAAGGCTCCAACGAAAACTCCCCCCTCAGAAGATATGTGGAATGTGCCGTCGCTATGGCAACTCAACCTTACCTCCTATCCCAGCTTGGGCGGGACTGTGGGAAGGCCGCTGAAACGTCCAGGGTCACTGCAACCATCCAACCCTAAATGCTCCTCCCCCTATCCACACTGAGGTGACATGCACTGCTTCATCATGGCTGCAGTGACTGAAGCTGGGATAGTCCCAACCCACCACCCCACCTAGTGGACACTTGTGTTGTGTTGTCTGAAGTCTGTTGCATCTCTGTCTGAGGTGTTTTTCTTGCAGAGCAAAGCTGCCCTCCCTATGGAGAGTAACTTTGAAGTGCCTCTTTTTTTCCCTCCACCTGAACCAATCCTCATGTAACCCTCTTATCTCTATTAAGGTAGCGCGACTCAGGGCTGCAAATGACCACAGTCACCAATTCTTGTCATGTGTCTTGCCCATGTATGTCTGATCTCTGAATTGTGTGTACTGAAACTCTAATTTCTCTCTGGGATTAATAAAGTATCTTTAATTGATTTGATTTGTAGAGCCGGTATACAGCACGTTTTAGTGGTTTCTCTGCTCAGAGTATGAATCCCCTGTGCAGAAACTCATCAGGCCTGCAGAAGCCTGTTAATCACCTGCTGATGGAAACCAGGCGTGATGAAACCGAGTTAAAACTAAAACATGCTGGATTCTGGCTCCCCTAAACCAGGATTGAGAACCGCTGCCTTAGGTAACCAAGGGCGCCCCCACAGGGTGGCCAGGGGTGGCCATGGCCACCCCTAGAAAAATGCTGGCCCCCCAGGAAAAGCCAGTGTTAACAAATCGTGTTAATGTTCAGTCAAACCATATATAAATCTTGTTTATTCAAGACATAATTGTAAAAAAAAAAAACAATTAATGAATAAAGAAATAATCAGAACACAAAAAACATACATATGTTTCTGCTGCTCACCATGTAAAAAAAGTTTTTATCTCCATAGTTTGTTTTTTCATGTGTGAACACAGCAACAGGTGAATAAACCTAAAAAAATAAAATTTTAAATAAAATTTGGGGTAACATTCGAAATAACTGAAATGTATTTTTCTAAAATGTTTGCGTTTGTAAAATTTAAGTTAAATGTTTTGGCTACGTACTGTTATTTAATAAAAATGAATAAAGGTGTAATGCAGTACATCAGAGTTACCAAAAGAACCAATTAGGTGTGCCACCCCAAAAATGTCTTTGGCCCCACCTGGCCACCCCAATCAAAATTTTCTGGAGGCGCCCCTGTAGGTAATCCTTCACCAGACCGTGGGTTTGAAGTCCAGCATTTCTGAGAAGGCAGGGCAACACGAGTTCCACAGGTTTGAGTTGGAGTTGTCCTCCAGCTCATGGACGTAATTTGTTTTTTTTTTTGGGGGGGGGGGGGGGGGGTGTATGTCCCCTCACTTTTTCCAAAGTCAAGTTTTGACCCCTGCACTTTTTACCATCCAAAAACAATATTACGCTATATTCAATTGACACTGGTTGAACTCTAGGACCAAGCAGACAACAACCATTTGTGTTGAAGTCTGTTTCACATTAGAACATACTGTAAGATCAGAATGTTGTTTTTTTAGCTAACGTCATCTTGGCAGCTGTGGGTTTCTAAATGTTTGAGAGAAACCAGAAAAATAAAACACAAAAACCTTCTAGAAAAATCACACGATCCAAATTATATTTTTGTTTTTTTAAACGGATAACCACTAGAACTCCTCTCTTTGTTGAGCCTTTATGAAAGCAGATCTATGATAACATGTTGAATAAAACATTACACACACACACACACACACACACACATGTTTTATGGTTTAGCTGCGTTTAATTATTTACTCGTGTCTTTCTCAGGCGCTGGTGGTGTTGATTACCACCACACAGGCCCGCCTCCTCCCAGCTCCTCGTCCACTTCGATCCAGCGGCCCGTTGTCCACCTGCTGCGTGGTTCCAGGCTCCGTTTCACTGACTGCTGCAATATTTTAGATGCAAACATGTCGGGAGGTAATGGCGATCAGCTGCACCGCTCCACCTTGGGGATTTATTCTGTAAGTAACAGGTCGAATCAGTAGCTCTCTCTCTCTCGCTCTCTTTGTGAGTCAGATTAAACAAGTTTTCCTCCAGGAGATGCTTCAGGGACAGGGTCCATTTCTGAGAGAGGCTCAGTTTAGTTTCTTCTACTGAAAACCTACATTAGCAGAAAGAATTGGAGCACCGGCTGACTAAAAACACACCTCGTTGATTCTTTTTTCAGGCGTCCAGGCCATCCTGAAGTGTGTTTTTCTCTCTCTTGAAAACCAATCGCATCTTTGATAAGAGTGTGTTTTTCAGAGCTTGACTGATGAGTTCAACCCAAGTCTGCAGAAACTGGTTTCACTGGGAAAGAGCTACATCCAGGCTTTCCAAGGTAAACATGAGTGAAAGGAACGAAAAGGCAGCAGTTTGGGCTTGCTTTTAGCACCCCCTAGTGCCCGTCGGTGAAACGTATCTCTTGCTGTGCGTTTAGATTTTCTACATCTTAATCTAACTAACTAATCTACAGGTTCATCACTAAGTCAATAAAATCAACTGTGTTCATGGTCTAAAACGTGCAGCACCAGGCATGTCAGCTCCTCTTCATTAGGTCCTGCAGGGACTGGGTGGCACTCTGAACTTGCAAGTGCGATATTCTGGACACAAGGGGCGGTGGGAGTCTGAGTGACATTTCAAAAACCCTGTAAAGGGTCATTTTAGCACACACTGGCTCAAGAAAAAGATATAAAATAGGAAGAAAATTGTGTTATACCCTTTAAATATTTATTTTTGGCATAATATTGCCCCAAATGATTTATTTTCCATGGCCACGTCCTTAGGAAGAGGCATCAGAATGAATAAGTACAGAAGATTTTTAGGCTGTTGTTTTAGCTTTAATTAAACCAGGGAGGTCTTTAAGTAACTGGAATAAAAACTACACATATTTTACATGTCATTAACTTTAATATTGCAATTAAATGTAAAAAAAAAAATTAGGCTGCAGAAATAACGTTGTATATGAAATCGGTGGCAGGCCTGAAGGCATTAAATATAAATACAGATGGGACTGTTTAGCGCCTGCCGAGGGGCTGTTAGCCAAAACCAGCACACCATACAGCCGGAGCTTATTTATTCTACAAATGCAGATCATTGTGAAATAATATGAAATGCTACAGATGATCTCAAACGTTGGTTAGTTAAAATGTTTTTTGGTGCTGCAGAGTTCTGGCTCTGGTTTAAGACCTCTTCTAGATCACTATTGGCACTTACGCACTGGCATCAGCTCTCCTCCGCCTGGACTGGGTTGGGAGTGTTCTCATTTGGATTTTCCCGCGTGCAACTAGACGTCTTTTCAGCCTTTATCCCGAGGCAGTCTACCTGGAGCCGAACTGGTCCAACACGCCCACTGCCGACCGATTGGTCGGCTCAAAATCACACCTACCACTAGGGGGAGCCTCTGAGTGGCAGATTGGATGAGCCCGCGGGGGCTTCCCATATGCGCGAATCAACACACACACACACACACACACACACACACACACACACACACACACACACACACACACACACACACACACACACACACACACACACACAGTGCCTACAAAAGTAAGACTGTTCAGGCTGCTTTTGTTTAATAATGGAGACACCGCAGAATTCTCTGAGCTCTTTTGCCCCGCTCACATGCTTGGAGATGTGTTGATGACATCATAGACCACAGACCACCCATGTACTCAATTGCATCCGCATTTCTAAGGCGGTGTGGAACGACCGTGGCTGGGGTGGGCGGAGCCGAGCCGATGCTAGTGTGTAAGTGGCACCAAAAAAATATCTGGCTGATTTTTTAACACAATGTGATCAAACAGTAAAATAAAAGAAAATCAGATGTGTTTATAAATTACTGTTGCACTGTAAAAACGAACACGTTGTATGAACATAAGACCGTGCGTTAAAGGCTTCCATACCACCCAGATTAGTGGGTTCTCTTTCCAATTCACTTGAAAGGATTTAATGAGTTAAATTTACCAACCGGATAAACTAAAGAGGTGTTTTTATTTAAACATCTATCTCAATGGAACCCATTTAAATAACCCGTTTTTGGAACTGGACAATTTGGTACGGTTCTGGGTAAATATTTGTAATAAATCAAAACTCACAAATGTTGTTTTACTGGAAGAATTCCTGAACTCAGTCTGATTCAGTCTAATCAGCGATGTTGATTTCAAGTTAATCTTGATTTTATTATTTCCTTTGGGTCAAACACTTGTCCCTGCCCATCTGTCTGACGCACCTTCTACCTCAGTTAAAAATCCTGGACGTGACATGTTACTTTGACAATTCTTAGCTAGTTTAGGGTGTTTTAACGAATCTTTGTCATTTTGTTTGATCATAACATGTAGTCGATTAGTAAAACTAACAATAGGAGCAAAATCATTTTTACAGTGTCACTTTGAGCTCGCAGTGTGATCTAGTTATTTCCATTTGTGTCAATGAAAGCAGAAAGGTGTGTGTGTGTGTGTGTGTGTGTGTTTCAGCCCTTGCCGTCTGCAGTGAGGCCTACTTCAATGCACTTTCGAGGATTGGAGAGAAAGCTTTCTACACCAAGTCCTCGCGCTCTCTGGGTATGTATGAGTTCACACTCGTGCACAGCTGCTTTTCACAAGTCCAGGTCACCAGGATGTGTGCCGTTTGTCTTTACAGTCATTTATTAGACGCCCCTCCTTATCAGGGAGATCAAAGTTTCTCCTAAGGCAGAGTTTTATTACTCACAAGTCTTTGATGTGGGTGTGTGAAACACACTTTAGGACGTTAGGACTTTTCCTTCCACAGTATCGACCAGTCGAGTACCACTAAGGCCAAATCGACCTGCGTACAACCTTCCAGGGCTCATCTGGATTATCATCCGGACCCTGATGGGTTTTCATGTTTGCAGATGAGTGTGTGATGTCAGTGTGTAACATGAATAATAGACGACGACAGGCAGCAGGCTGTTCTCCACTCACTTAACCCAGAGTCATTATGACCGAGGGATGCCAGGCTAAACAGATGCAGTTCAACATACTAGAGCTCTAACGTTCTCCCGAGAGGAAGAATCCCAACAGGAATTCTGCTTTGGGAACTCTGGTGAAGCAAGACCACATCAACCTGCGATGTTTCAGCCAATAAAAGGATAAAAATAAACCAAAAGGGAAGTTCTTATCACACATCTTTACTCTCCCTCTGCTTGATGAGCGCATCATAATCACACGTGGTGACAATGAAGACTGGTGACAACGTGGGAAGCTTCAGAAACGCTGCTGACTCTGCCTGCAACAATAAAACAGGAATCTACAGTCATAAAATGTTGGAGCGGTCATGTCGCAGAGATAATTCATTCTTATTGCAGCTAAATGGAAATAATAAAAGTGGAAACATTTGTGGTCTATCAGACTTTGAGCCACGTCGTCCCCCGACCAGTTTCTTCCTCCACCCACATTTCCTGTCTGACAAATGTGCCACAAGGACGTGGCGTACTGAGAGGGAAGAGCTGTGGTCGTGACACAGACTAGCCCTAACCACCCATTAGCTCTCACCGGTGTCGGATTATGCTCACAAACTGAACATGACAGAAGGTAAATAGTGAAAGAAAAATGGCAATTGACCAGTTTTTCTATAGCGCCTTTTTAGGGTTCTACAACCCCCCGAGGCGCTTCATAACACAATCAGTCATTCACCCATTCACACACACATTCACATGCTGGTGAGGATGCCAGAAGTTTAATTCTTGTAATTTTTAGTACCTTCCAGAATGAGCCATTTCAGGGCTTTGTCACTTTAACACAGTGGTTCTCACGTAGTGGGGTGTGTGAGAGGGGAGGGGGCATGCCTCTCAGTGGCCTAGTGGTGGAGTATCCACCCTGAGACTGGGAGGTCAAGGTTCAAATCCCGGTTGGGTCGTACCAAAGACCTTAAAGATGGGAACTGATGACTTCCTGCTTGACGCTCCGCTTGGATCGGGGTTTAAACCACCAAATAGTTCCTGAAGCTCAGACACAGCTGCAGCTCACCGCTCCCCACGGGGAAGGATCAAATGTGGAAATGTAATTCCACCAGTGTGTAATGATGACTAAAGAGACTTTAACGGAAATAAGCTGACCACACCCACCCCTCCTGTGATTGGCTCAGGGTAATCTTCCACAGATGAGTGATGATTCTATGCTGATTTTCATTATTGTGATGTCACAATAAGGACATTTTCAAATGGAGGCATATGATTCCTGACGGCACACTCGGATTGGAAGCAGATGGATAGTTTTCTGCCTGTTTGTAGCGGTAACAGATGCAGCAGAGGCCCACATGGAAGCACAAGACAATGCAAAATCAGATTTTTCCACAATACGTCCTCTTTAAAAGGCAAAAAAGAGCTATCATTTCCACAAGCAAAGTCTTCATCCGTCACTCCTTGTCCACAAACAATCACAACCCAAATTTAGAGGGTTTCTAAACGTACTCTGTTCCGGGATTATGCAGTTTATTTTAACACATCACCAGACTTCTGTTGGGTTGGATTTCATTGCGTCATAGATTGATTTTGACACAACGTGTAAATAATTAAAGATGGATTTTGTTTATCTTTAAGGAGACGTCCTGATTCAGATATCTGAGACCCAACAAAGACTCACATCAGAGCTGAAGGGAGTGGTGAGTCATAAAGCCAACGTGCTTCATTTGTCCTACATGTTCAGAGCTAAATGACTTGTTGTCTCTGGTTCCAGTTCAACTGGTTCAATGTGGAAGTTCTCCAGATGATGGACAACAACGTTCGACTGGACAAGGATTACATATCAGTGAGTGAGAGCAAAGCACAAACTAGGCTTTCTCCAGGATCCCTCCCTAGAAGAAGAAGAAAGTATCATTTCTATAGCGCCTCTCAAGATCAAAATCACGAGGCGCTTCACAAAAACAAAAAATGTAAAAATATAAGAAAGCATTTAGAAAATGTTTAAAAATATATTAAAATGAGCAAAAACAGGCTATTGTGATTAAAAACAAAATGTTAAGAAAGAGAGAGAGAGAATAGTAAAGAGGGAAATCAGTGGATCCTGAGGAAGGTGGAATAGGTGGGGAGAGCAGAATAAAGAGAGAGAGGTGAAGAAGGTCATACAAAAGCCAGCTTGAACAGGTGAGTCTTCAGCTGCTTTTTAAAGGAGACCACTGAGTCCACTGATCTCAGGCTCAGGGGGAGAGAGTTCCAGAGTCTGGGGGCCACAGCAGCAGATGATCTGTCACCTTTGGTCTTCAGCCTGGTGCTGCACAACCAGTGGACTTTGATCACTGGACCTCAGGGACCTGCTGGAGGTGTAGGGACTAAGAAGATCACCAATGTAAGATGGTTCTTGTCCATGTAAGGCCCTATAGACCAGAACCAGGATCTTGAAATGAACCCTGAAGTTGAGTGGCAGCCAGTGAAGCTGGAGGAGAAGCGGGGTGATGTGGGTGTGTTTGGAGGACTTGGTCAGAAGCCGAGCACAGGCATTCTGAACCACCTGTAGATGGTTCAGGGAGGTTCTGCTCAGACACGTGAAAAGAGAGTTACAGTAGTCTAAGCGTGAGGAGATGAAGGTGTGGAGAACTGTCTCAAGTTCAGAGCAGGACAGAATGGGACTCAGCTTAGCAATGTTCCTGAGATGGAAGAAGGAAGAGCCACAGATGATGGTATAACACCAGATGCTACATGTAATGATAGTAATTTACATTATTTAAGGACCGTGAGATGTTAAGATTTCACATCGAGTATGAAATCCATCTTACGGACCATCAGAAGATTGGAACTTTTTAATGCAGGTATTAGATAACACTTTGTATTAACTGAGAGACAAGAGAAGAGAGAGGGTCCTTCAAACGTTTAAGATGATTTATTACTAAATAATTTTAAACAATTTAACAATAATAACTCTCTATTGATGGATGTAGCTGGTATGAATGAGGTGTGAGATGGTTGGTGTGTGTGAATGAGTGTCATTCAGAACTCTCGTATCCGGAGAGGCAAGTCTGAGTGGGAGGTGATGTTTTGCTCCTAACTAAGATCAGACTTGACCGGAGTAGTCATAAAAACACGAGACGCCATATTGTCGCATCCACACATACCCTTAGAATGAGACCTCCTTCACGGATACAGAATGTAAGGTCCACGGACCCTCCTTTCGGTACTGGAGCCAGTGATACAGCGTCAACAGTACGACAAACTAGTCTTTGGATTGTCTCCAGGTAAAAAGCGACAGGTGGTTCACAGCGTCAAAAAGGGATCCTCCTTGGGTCAGTGAGTTCAGCTTTTATTCTGAAAGGAACCATTGCTTGGTTGGTAAAAAAAACAACAGATTTTTCCAGCTTGATGGTTCTCAGCTTAAAAAAGGGAGGTTCGGATGGCCGGGACGATTACTTCGCTTAGCATGCGGTGAACTCAGTGAGATCTTGAGAACTGAACTTAAGATGGCGTTGGAACTAGTTTCATTAATCTGGATGTTTTGAATTCTGGTCGAATCAAAGCTGGCAGATTTATAAACACCACAGAGACTATGCCACACTTCAGACTAGGAAGGTTCTGATTGGGTCAGTACAGCAATGCGTTATGCAGTTGTTTACCTTACGTGTGTCAGTGTGTCTAGTGACTAGATTAAGTCATTCACTTATTAAACATATTAATCATAACATTGTGATTTCACAGACTGGTCACATTGTATTATTGACTAACAGTTTTTTTGATTAGCTTTATTAAAAAGAGAGTTCTTTGATTTATTAAAAGAAAAGAGTCTTTTCATCTTCTTTCTTCTTTTGCTGGAAAGTAAACAGTTTAGAAGCCAATGCATGACCTTGAGGCTGTTTCATGCACTCGGGCACTGTGGAAATAGGTTAAATCCTTGGTGGAAACAGCTCCTTCATCACGTTACATACGTATGCTGTCAAACAACTCAAAACATAACATTATTTATGTTTTCAACTTGTTTTTGGCGAGAATGACCTGGGTAGACAAGAGTTGAGCTGTAGCGTGAGTGGAGACCCAGACGCAGAGAAGCTAGCACCGGGAATCTGGGAGTATCTATGTGACACTCGATGGGAGGCGAGACCACGGAGATAGTTGACTTACTCATGTAGACAGATCTGAGAGATGATCATAGAATGTTCGGTCATAGAACCTCGTGGAAAGATGACTGAATGGGTAACGGTGTTGGCGGAGTCGGTTAGATCGATTCTGGAAGTGACGTGAGGCTTCCGGGTTGGGGGATGCTGGGAGCTGGAGTTCTAGGTGTTGGAGCTGTGGCTGGAGGATGGTGGTGAGGAGGGATCCGTAACAAACCTGACCAGAACCTCCTCAGACTCATCTGTCTTCTCTGCAGCTTGTAAGACAGACACACACGTGTCAGCTGGCAGAGCTGAGAGTGAGCTGCGTTCACAGACAACAGCTCCATCACGTAAACGTTTCTCAACAACAACAGAATCAGACTAACCGAACACATAAAACAACTCCTTGAATTAAATTTGCAAACATAACAGAACATTCCACCTGTCACGCTTTGCAGAATGGCTCTAGCATTTCTTCCTGTCCATCTACTCCGAGAGATTGTGACTCTGAGAGGGTCGTGTGCAGCGGGGTGGCGAGGACTGGATCAGCTCTTTACACTTGCGAGGACATTCAAGGGTTTCTCCACCTTTCTTTGTGCATTTTGTTTACTTGTTTATGTCTGAGTCCACTGGGTTGTCCTGTGGAGGGTTCTTTAGGAACATGCTGATTGAAATCAGGCATGTTGAAGCAGAGTTAAAACTAAAACATGCTGGATGCCGGCTTTCCAGAACCAGGAGTGGGTACCGCTGTCTAAGAACCATGGCTGCCCTTTGTCACTGATCCTGATGAGCACTGTTACTGATTTTCTATGCACAGCCAGGAGTTGGAAGGTCTTTAGTTTGAGTGGCTCCAGATAGCGTCACTATTTTGTGCACATCATGTAATCCTGTTGTCCTTGGATGAAGTTTATCCTTCCCAAGTCTGAGGCTGAGGTCCTAAACTACAAAAAGTGTTATTGGCCAACTTTGAGTCAGGGACGAGCCACAGCTCCAGGTGAAGGAGGTGCAGCACCTTCAGATTATTAACAAGTGACGGTTTAACAGGAGGAGACTAGATTAGAGCGTGTGCTAAACTGTTGTGGTGAAGAGAGAGTCGAGTCGAAAGACAAAGCATTTGATGCACCGATCAACCGATGTTCCAACTCTCCAGTGGTCACTCGCTGTGGGTAATGACCACCAGAATGTGGCTGCTAAGATGAACCTCATCCACAGAGAGGCTGGACTAATTCTCAGAGACGGGTGAGGAGTTCAGAGTAGAGGTGCTGCAAACGTTAAAACAGGAAGTACAAAGATCCATTAATCTGAAATCCAGATATCTGGACATGACTCTTCAGCAGAGTCAGCAGTTAATGTGCCACCGAGCAGAACTTTGATCACAAGCTCGTTTTTTAGTTGTCGACACACGACTCAAACGAATGGGTTACTGAGTACTGAGCTGTCACCGTCGGTCCTTTCAAAAGATCAACACTCATCGTGTGAACTCCTGTTGGGCTATCACTGCTTTTCTGCTGGTGTTTCTGTCATTTCAGCACATTTCCAGGCTCCCTTGTTTTTTAATTTTTGTTTTCATTTTTATTTATTTATTTTAATATTTTTATGTGAAGCACCTTGTGATTTTTGCCTTGAAAGGCACCATACAAATAAACATTTCCTATTTTTCTGCTTCTTATAGAATAGAATAGAATAGAATAGAATAGAATAGAATAGATCATTTGTTTATTATCCCTCAGTGGGGAAGTTTTGTTGCAACGGCTAAACATTTAAGAAAAAGTGTATTTAAATGAGACATTATGACTTTTTTCATTACAGTCGATACAAAACATGTCCATGAAGTTCTTTGCACTAAAACTCTCTCATGTAAGCAGTTTTATTCCTGATAGTTTCAGTACCTTCCAGAATGAGTCGTTTCAGGGCTCTGTTACTTCAGGAATACAAGCTGGAGCTGGCCACACCCACTCGGGGTGGATTGGCCATCGGGCCTACCAGGCACTTCCCAGTGGGTCATTACCCAAACTAGATTGGTTTCCCACCCACTTCCCCCACTCGGACGGTCAGTGAGATGGAGAAATTCCACGGATGAATTTTCATCCCAGTCAAGGCCCACACCCACATATCCCCCACTTAGGCTGCTATAAGCTGAGATGCTCCAATATCAGAAGAGGTTCAGAGTAGAGATGCTGCTGCTCCTCCAATGGCAGCTCTCTCACGCACATAAGAGGCGGGTCTACTTTGCTATTTGCTTTTGTGACATCACAAACACAAACACTCCATTCCCACAGGTTGTTACATCGGTATCAGTTCGTACACAAAACAATCATCGGTAGAACCGCCATATCTTCGCTCATTACTCATCACTTCCAACAACCAGCACAACTTACGTTCCAATAACTTCATCACTATTGTTAATCCCAAAGCTCGCACCTCCTTTGGCCGCTCCTCATTCCAGTTTGCTGCTTCCAACGACCGGAATGAGCTGCAAAAATCACTGAAGCTCACTACCCACATTCCATCATCTACCTTCAATAATTCATTGTGGTCAATAGTTTATGATCAATGTGCTTCTGAGTACTTAAAAATGGTTTTAAGTCAGATTTGATTGCTTGTAGGTATTATATATGAGAACAGTCCGTTGCCTTTATGTCTAATAGTTTTATCTTGTTTATATCTTACCTGTTTTTCTTTGATGTAAAGCTAACTTTGTGTCTGTTGCTGCCTCTTGACCAGAGCATCGCTGTAAATGAAAATGAGTTCTCGATCCACTCATCTGGATAAATAAAGGTTCAATAAATTAAATAAAACAAACAGCATTTTTAGGCACGTCATTCCTAAAACCAAGAGCGGACAGAAAATGGATGGAAGGATTTTTTTCCGTGTTTGTAGCGTTATTAGATGCAGTGGAGACCCACATGGGAACACAGAAGGATGCAATAGACGAGTTTTGCGTAGCCTGTCCAATTTAACACGCAGAAGCAAAGTCAGGAGGTTCAAACTGCCGGTAAAGTCATCTGAGGTGTGTTTTTATTTCTTAATTAAGAAAATGACTCATTCATTTACATGGAGGGGGCAGGGCTTAAAAGCTATGCTGCAATCAACCACCAGGAGGCGCTTGTTGTCTGTTTATCATTGATGTCAATATTTAACATTCTCCCAGCAGGATTACTGATGAGGCAATGGAGCTCGTTGTTTGTCCACCTGAGCTCACGTTTTGTTTTGAGCTAACTAGTAGCTACAGAAGCCAGAGTGCTTCATCCCGTCCCAGAGTTCAAAGCCTACCTGCCTACAGGAAGACATTTATCTTGGACATATATGCCACAGAGTTGAAGATTAACCATGCTCATTTTAAAAACAAACAGGACCAGACGAACCACAACCCTATGGAACAACGCCAACCTCCTGTCAGCGGTCTGGGTATGACCCAGGTTCAGCTAAAATGAACTCAACGTTAGAAAATTACATCAGTCTTGTATTTTCATTTACTTCAACCATAACCAAATTAACACAAAGATTGTTCAATGAGTCGTTTTTTGAGTGTATTTCACAGGATGTTCTTGTGAGTTGTTTCATTTTTTTACAGTAAGACCCACAGAACACGACTAGATCATGGGTCAATCATCAACGGTCATGAGAAATTATATCTGGAACTTTATCTCTGCTGGGGTTTTTGGTGAACGGGGACACGATTCAGACAGATGTGATGTGGACTGTTCCACAGGAGAGCCGGCTGAAGTATGAGATGGAGGTTCATAACCAGGCAGCAGCTCAGGAGCTGCAGTGGAGGAGAGGAACTAGTCAGGTCTGTGTGGCTTTCACTTCCTGTTTCCATCCGCACATCTTCCATGGTGGTGCCTTCATTCACGTTTATCTGTTTTGCTGCTTTTTGTGCGTCCTCAGGACAGTGGTGAGTACGTCCAGTTCCTCAGGGTGAGCCACCTGGAGGCGTTAAGTGAGGAGGAGAGGAGGTACCGCTTCCTGGCTGAGAAACACAGTGGCCTGATCCAGTCCATCGCTCGCCTCATGAATAAGGTACCACTGACTCCAAACAGAAGTCTGGTTTGTGGCTCGGCGTGGTCAAACAGACCATTAGAGGTGACACGAGCAGCTGAATTTAAAAACAACATGGAGACTTTATTGGTGTTTGTGGATTTGCTCACAGGTTTGAACTCTGGACTTTATGACGCCATTGCTCCGAAGCGATTAGATGTTTAACAATGGCTGAGAAGTTTTTAAGGCCGTAAAACAAAAACAAACTCACTTTTAGATCCACACGCTGACTGCTTCTGGTTTGTTATTTAGCGCTCCTCACGCAGCTGGCTGTGCGTGAGACGAGGGCCGAAGCCTGACTCAGACATGGAAACATGGAAGACTCAGAGCTGGCCAAGCCTCTGCAGTGGAGTCTACATCCTGATGCTGCCCTCGTGTGACAGCACGGAGACGACACACAGAGCAGCTTTACAGCTGATCTTTGGATCCATATATGGATGTCATGAAGTGTCAGTAGTTTCCATAATGGGTGTGTTCAGGCGTTGATCTGAACTGGGTAGCAGAATTCAACACAACATGGGTGTGAAACGAGAATTTTGACCAAATCTTCTGCTACGTTTGAGCCATAAAATCTATTAGATGCTGTAGAAAATCTCATTTTCTATGTCCTTATCTGATCTGAAAATAAAAGAGAATTTCTGCACGTTTGTGAGATAAATATGGTTTTTTTATGCACAGGGGAAAAAGAAAAGTTAAAAAAAATCTGGATAGGCACGACGTCATTGAGACGTCTTTGCTTCAGCTTTAGGCAGATTACATGTTCACGAAGAAATCCAAGATCGAAGATGTGAAACTGAAGTTCCCAGGCAACGTTGTCTACATGCCTTCCATTTATGTGGTGGTTACAGGTTAGTCGACCAACATCAATGAACTGAACAGAATGATGTAAGTTTGCATATCGGTTCCACGTGATTTACTCTACTTCTGGCACTCGCTGGCATTTCTATTCTGTTAAGAGTTCAGCTGTAGCTTGAATCACAAATAGGCAGAAATCAGAAAGCTGAACAATACAAGGTCAATAGGTTTCCTTTTCAGTGAGGTCAAACATTAAACATGCCAGGAACACATAAATATTAGCCTGGTCAGTCATTCTATACTGTATGTGTAAATATGTAGTCTGGCCACAACCCACAGACAGAGCTCAGGCGTAGGGCTGTCTCCACATGCACTTGGACAGCACCGGGACCAATCAGAGCAAAGAACAATGGGAAGTATTTATGACGGCAATCAGTCAAAGGGGCAGTCTGCCCAAACACTGTCAAAGAAAAAGAAAAAGCTATCGTTGAGCTAACAATATGTAGGATTTGAGACATTGAGTGCTTTAAGAGCTCAATATTACCTCTACTTATGACCAATAAGCTGTGATACTCTATATAAATATAGAATATCAACTTTGCTTGGTCTTTACTGTGTTAATCAGAAAATTCTAGGATTCTTTGTTTTATTCGGGAATTGTAAACACTTTGTCTTGATTCAGAAAAGAGTCAGGTTTATACAAGTAAGAATTTATTTTACAAACAATTAAAACCTGACAGGTTAACTAATATTTACTGTGAGTGGATGGAGCTAGATGTTATGTATGAAACCTGTGTGTGAATGCGATGTTATCAGAACTTCCGTATCTAGGAAAGCTGAGTTCTGGGTGTAAAATAATTTGGATTGTGTTCAGCAATGAAGTTGATTATCATCAAAAACACATCAGACGCTGTCTGTCATGTCTACGTACCCATTCGAAGACCCTCGTGACAGATCCGGAATGTCGAAGTCCTCGGACTTCCAGGCACCGAGGTCCGTAGAAGAAACTGCGGCACTACTAGACCGGTCTTAGAGTTGTCTCCAGGTCACAACAGACGGGTGGAACCGCGTTTCTGGGACTCTGAAGGAATGTAAACAATATCAGCTTGTTCTGCAGGAACCATTTGCTTTATCAGCTTCGCAAGTCCAAAAAGATTTTGATGACGTGTCAAAAGCTTTGATGGTTAAAGAGGTTTTGCTTCAGATGGCCGGTCTGAAGCTTTGTCAAGAACTGATGAATCACCAGAGTGTTCCAGTTTTAATGTTCTCATGTTATGATTTGTGTAGCCAACCAGAGGTTGACAAGTTTGAGGAATATTACCAAGACAACCCAGAAGGCTCCGGAGGCTCTGATCTGGGTAAAGGTTGTCTATGTGTCATGGGTTTAACTTAACCTTACTTTGTTCTTGTGTGAGTGCAAATGGTGATGACCTTGTCATATAAACATGCTGAAACATATATCAATCAATGTAACCATAACATAACATTCATTTCAACATTCAATCATTGAAGCACAGGTTAATGAAAACATTTCATTATATTATAATTAGAAGTTATTATAAATAGAAGTTCTTATTTAATTTAGGAAATCATTCTTTGATTTGGTAACTAATCCAGGCTGCAAGTGTTCACTTGTTTGGTTGCACGAAGAATCCTGTAAGACGATAAGGGAAGCTTGAACCTAGAGGAGAGAACACTATTGTTGACAATTCGTTATCACTTGTTCAGAGCTGCAGGCTCTGAGCGCCAGCTGATGGGATGAAGGCAGGCCAATTTAAAGGGTACACATGCAGTCTCGTGTCTCCTTTTTGACCAGATGTTGAATGGTCAAACTGTACCTAAAAACTGACCATTGCTGGGCGTTACATATGCTAACACTGAAATAGAAGGCAAAGGTTTGCTCTAAAAAAGGTTTCAAATTACCTTTTCAATGACCAACAACTCAATATTACAGTGAAATGTATGCGTGAAGGGAATAATGAGTCAATCGTGACATTTTACTTCCTCAAATAAGTCACTTAGCATCATGCTACAGCAAGCTAACGGCAGCCAGATGGTTGAAACACTTCCTCTATTCCGGAGGCATATTGCCGTAATAAGTGTAGTAAGAATCAGAATCAGAATCAGAATAAGCGTTACTGCCAGCGCTCCAGCGACCCAGAGCATAGGAACTTGACTTCGCAAACACAACCTGACCAAGATTAAACACACACACATGTAGACGAAACAGGTACAGGCAGCCCACGAGAGCAGCTAGAACGGCGCTCATTTCATTAAGTCAGTGGTTCCCAAACTTATTTAGCCGCGCACCCCCCCCCCCCACACACACACATCACGGCATGGATATATATATATATATATGTGTATATATATATATATATATATATATATATATATATATATATATATATATATATATATATATATATATATATATATATATATATATATATATATGAGACGTCAAGCTAAACAGACAGGGTTAAAAAAATATGATCGGCCTTTTTCCCCATCACTTTCATTTTTTAAATAGTAATTAATAAACATTCGATACCATTACAATTTTCTTTGATTTAATTTTAAATAAATATTTAGAGTGCCCAGGTAGCACATAAACAATGCAATTTAACGGTTTTCTTGAAGTAGGAACGTTTAACCTGTGCGGCCAGAGCGCTCTCCTTCCTTCTGCTCTGCGTAAACCTGAGCTGATCACCTACTTGTGCGTAATCAAATGTCTATAGGGGAAAAGGAAAAAGCTTTAGCCATGAGGTTCACTTTTGCCTCAGACCGACTTATTGCTGTTTTATGGTGTGGCTGAATCTGCGATCCGCTGCCACGCGGACAGGAATAACAAATGCTGCAGGTTCGGAGTCACGGCTGGAGCGGACCCGACTTTAATACGTCATCCCAAAATAGAAGCTAATATCTTAATTTGACCTGGAATGAAAAATGTTATAAAACATCTTAAAAGTTTTTATCACAGAGGAGGCAGAGCTCATTTCTGCCTTCAGTCTGACGGCGCGCCGCAGTTTGCGCAGCGTGCACTTATTGAATCTGTGTGTGTGTGTGTGTGTGCGCGCGCGCGCGGCACAGCTCCACGAATCTTGGTTTATGCTTGACGCATTCACTTTTCGCTTGGTGATGCGGCTCGCGGATGGAACACACTTCACAACTTGCAGCGTTTAAGTCACTGTGTCTCGTTATTGGCGCTGTGTAAACCAATGTTGTAAAATGACTTCTGCCCAGCCCAGATGTGCTCACTTGTGCTCCCGTGAGCCGTGGTTCCGGAACGCGTCTGACCTCTGACAGACGCACTCTAAACTTCAGATCTTCAGCGCGTGTGAGGTTTACAATGTCAGAACACCTGCATGAGACAGGTGTTAACTACAATCTGCCACAATGACTCACCACCTTCAGATTTCTCCAACACCGTTAAAAATGATAAAATACGGAACATATCGGCGTGCGCAGGCCAGAGTGCTGAAGCTCGGCGCATTGTTATTATGAAGTTAGGGCACATGTGGAGGACACACACACACACACACACACACACACACACACACACACACACACACACACACACACACACACACACACACACACACACACACACACACACACACACACACACACACACGTAAAATATACTTGTTTTCAATTACATTTATTGGGCCCACTTACTTTTTCTTTGGCCCACCCAAAAATGAGTTTCTGGCAACGCTAATGGTGACAACTGACAGACTTCTCTGAGCTCCGCAGCCATTACACTTTTCATCTCGCGCACCCCCTAGCAGCAGCTCGCGCACCCCCGGGGGTGCGCGAGCTGCCGCTAGGGGGTGCGCCCACCACACTTTGGGAATCCCTGCATTAGGTGAAAAGGGTGTTACATGAGGATAATTGGGGTAAGGTAAAAAAAAAAAAAGGCATACCAGAGTTAGTCCCAGCAGGGAGTAGCTCTACTATACAAAAAACTCCTCAACATAGAAGCACGGACATCACAGTTACAAAACATCAGACTCCGATAGGGAGGCGGGACCTGAATCCTCCAACGGGAGCTGCCAGTGTGCGGCGCTCAGCCAGCTGCAGTCAAACAGGTGGGAGGGAGCGAGAAGGGCCAGAGAGCACATTGAGTTTCCTGCAGGTTGATGACCTCGAAGCAGAAGTCACAATCTGAAGGCGGGGGGGGGGGGGGGGGGGGGGGGGGGGGGGGTGTCACAGCATCTGTCTACATTCCTCCTTTCGTGGGGGTGATATTGATGGCAGCTTTGGAGGCTGCCCTTGGCGTCAGATTAGGATAACAAGACTTTGTTTAGGGCAGACAGAGATAATTTTCCTCTCTGCCTTGGAGTCTATTAAGTGATCATTCATGTCCACCAGTGAAGCCAGTTATACGTTCTAAACATCCCCACACCATCCGGCGACCCTCTCCGAGATGACATCCATCTTGCACACTAACACAGGCAATGCCGCGAGGACATTGTCCAGCTTATGGTTCACCTCGAGTAACGTCCCAGTCTGTGAGGTCACCGCACGGGCGGCACATTCCGTGGGTACGGGTCGCACTCCAATCGCTCCCGTCTTCCCAAATTTCCAGAAGACCAGATATCCACCCACTCCAATCAGAAGAAATCCAGTGATCATTAGGCCGAATATCCACAAATCTTCCACGTCCTCGATGGACAACTGAGAGAGGCACACGATTCACCAGATCTCCCAAGAACCGAGTGCATATCCCGCTGCGTATGTCCCTTGAGGACAGGTGGGAGCCCCCTTCTCCGTTCTCATCGTAGAAAAAAATCTTATCAATCGCGTTGAATAACCAGTTAATTAAATCCATTTTCCAAAGTAGTGATTTTCAGGAGAAATGCAGAGAAGTGCTCTGTAGGCAGACAGGACAGAGAGCCTTGGGAAAAGCAGATAAGGGAGCTGAAGCAAAAGCGTCTGTACTCTCTGAGAGCCGGATAAGAAAAAAAATGTGCTCCCTACTGTAAAACACCCAGACATGACAATTTATTTATCTCCTTGTAACCCATGAGAAGTATTGGGCTACTAAACCTGTTTATGTTGTCTGAACTGTAGTACCACAAATGCCCACCAGGGTGCAGGTTACACCTTCTGAAACCTGAGCTATAGACGTGCAACATACTCACTTTTCACCTCCAAGCACATGCGTCGGCTGTGCACTGAACGGAGCGAGCTGGAACCTTGTGAGTCATCTGTGAGCAACTGGAGTAACCGTTTGTTGAGAGCTTGCTTGTGGAGATCCCGATTGGTTTTATAGTGACTCTGCATTCTTGACGTGATGGCGAGCCGAGCCCAGATGGACTGCGGACAGGTGTAAACGGTGTGGCCAGCCGAGACATCCTTTCGCAGAGGAACCTTCACGAACTGGAAAAATCCATATAGATCTACAGATAAGACACAAACACCATCCGGGTAGCAACGTTGCTCAAGAACTGAATTCTAAAGATCAACATCTATTTTTATTTTTTTGGGGAAAAGAGCTCTCTTATTTTGGGTATTGTATTTGACTTTGAAAATATTGTAACCACACATTCTCTTTTTTTATTTTTTGTATGCTGGGTGAAGCAATAAATCACCGTTGTTCAACTTTTGGATGGTTATCCTAATTCTCTTTGTAGATAGAGCCTAGTAGATGTCTAGTACCTGACTAAAACTAGTCCCCTTTATAGGTGCTACACTCCTCATCAACTTACTGTATATGACTCGTCTTTGCTTGTTATGTAGAATCTTCTGGCGCGGAACTGGCAACAGCCGTGAAACTCACAAATTAAGCGTGCAGTAACCACGTCTAACTCTCCTCCTACACACTGTACCTTTAATCTTCCAGAGTTGATGCCAAAGCCGTTCCCCAGCCACCACCATCAAAGCTCTGTCCAACAAACGTAGAGCCCTGTGATTGGCTAGAAACAAAACTCTTCAGGCAAATGATAGACCTGCTTCAGTGAGACTAAAATGAAGTGTGGCTAGACCGACCTGCAGAGAGACATCTTTATGTTTCTGCTGCGGTTTGTTTGCTAGGCTGCATGAATTCTGGATATTTCCTAATCATGCTGATGGATCATTGCGTACGGGCAGCTTGGTGGCACCGTAGCCTCGTGGAGTTCCAGCCCTCCTGCAAAGCCTTACGTAGTTAGCATGTTCTCCCCATGCATGTGTGGATTTACTTAATCTGTAAGGCTTTCAATCAATAAGTTTCAATGTGACAGACAGGAGGAGGTCTGCAGCAGAGAGCAGATACCTGGACTGAAACGATCGGGGCCACCAGACGAGCCGAGGGCAGGCAAGCCCCTCCCCAGGATAACTCTGTAAGTTGTCAGCGCCTCACAAACAACAAACTCACTCATGCAGGTCATAAACTTCACTTTGTGCTAATCTGACTTTATGGGATGGAAGAAAATGTTCAACTTGATTTTATTTTAAAGGTTTTGAATAACAAATAACAAATGAATTCATGAAGTGGAAACCAGACAAAATGAAAACCCACGACAGAGAAAACAGGTTATAGAAAAACAATCAATGACTGCTTCCGTAGCAAGGGCTCCCTCTAGTGGTCAGTATCTGGTTTCATTTGAATAAATCCCATTTCAGGCTTTGGGTGAAATTCGGTTCCAGAAAGCTTTTAGAGGAGGATTCAGCCTCTCTCAGTAGAAACAAATATGATTTGTTTCAGTTTTATTTTCTGATCTAAACCCTTCTTCATCTGAGAAACAATCCAAAATAAATCCAAGGTTTCTGCTCATCCCCTGGAAGGGTTAGGGTGAACTCCACAGATTCTGTTGTAATAACACAGAGGATTAAGGGTGTTTGCTGTAGTCTGATGAGGATTTATTCTCATCTATAACAGCAACATTCAGCCTCATCAATGATGTATTCAAGCCCTGCACACCGATATACTCTCCTGTTTCCTGTTTTTAATCAGCTCCAGGCTAAACGACGCCGGGTTGAAATCCCCTTAGATTTTATGATTAGGTTTACTTGATATCTATATTCTGCCTTTAAAATAAATACACTCTAATCTCAAATACCGTGGCTGCCATGTTGGTCAGGGTTAAATTGGTTAGGCTAGGGTAAATTATTGCAAATTGTGTCAAGGGAGTTCTGTGTGGAAAATGTCCTTGCAGTGAGCTCTTTGGGTTTGAGTGTGAAGAACCAGAGATTGATAAGCTAATGGCTAGTCCAAGAGAGGCCAGTGCTGAAGTTGATTGCTGTAAATTTTGAACAGGACTAATATAGAGCGAGAAAAATGACTAAAGTAGGAAAAAGCCGTGAGCAGTCAGTGATTTGTTATCTGAATGTGTTTGCTGCCTCGCATGTTGTTTCTTTTCAAAATAACTACATAGCAGATAATTTCTTACATAAAGATAAACAAAAGAAAACAAAGTGCTTCCACAAGTCTGAAAAGTTTGTTCAGATGTATTTATTATTATTATTATTATTATTATTATTATTATTATTATTATTATTATTATTTATGCTCCCGGGGAGGGGGGTGGGTGGGCACGCTTTGATTGGCTACTAGAATATTTCTGCTCAGCCAGCAGCTCAGTAGTGCACACACAGAGAGTTTTTATCCCCCGTGAGGCGGAAAATATCTAACCGGTCTGATATTTGGCTCAGCGTCTCGTGAGGCAAAAATCAGGTGAACACGGCGAGGAATCTGCTGAGCAAACGGTCATTCGAGGCCACCGGAAGTAATTTATGGTTGTGGAGTACTCACGGCTCGGAGAGATGAGACCCGTTCGTATACTCACACTGACAGAGGACTCACTAATCCCTGAGAGAGACGCTGAAGCAGCAGAAATAAAACTTGCAGATGGTTGAAAGCTGGTTTGTGGTGTCCCATTTTTGGTTCTTTTTTAAAACACAGAAAAGTTTTCTCTTCTCCTTGCTGACAGTATCGTTTGTGGCTGCAAACATCCTCAGAGCTGATGCTGATGGTGGCGTCACTTCCTACTCCGTTATCCGCGGGCAGCAGAGGAGTAGGAAGTGACGCAACCATCAGTGTCAGCTCTGAGGATGTTTGCAGCCGCAAACAAAACCATCAGCAAGGTAAAGAAAAACCTTATCTGTGTTTTAAAAAAGAACCAAAAATGGAATTAGAAGCCAAACACAGCAAGAACGTACCAAAGATGGTTTGTGGTGTTTTCACGTCGCCTTTTTGATGTCTGCGGGCTACTGCAGCTGCAATACCGATTCTGAACTGCGTGGCACTAACGAGTCAAATATTTTTATCATTTATAAATTTTACACACTGTGGCTTTAATGTCTCATTTTCAGGATTTAAACACTAATTCTTCAGTTTGCAACAACATTTTGGAGATGGGAGTTTTAATAAAAGATACTTAGCTCCTTTTAGTTGTCCTATCATGGACTAGCCGTTAGCTCATCAATTCAATCACAACTGATGTATTCCATTTTTGTTTCTTTTTTTAAACACAGATAAGGTTTTTCTTTACCTTGCTTACGCTTCGTTTGCGGCTTCAAACATCCTCAGAGCTGACGCTGATGGTGGCGTCACTTCCTACTCCGTTTATCCACAGGCAGCAGAGGACGTTGTCGCCCCCTGCTGCCCGCTCTCCCCTCTCCGATGATGCATCATCGCCAATTCAACACACGGACAATAGAACATAGAAAGGAGTGTGAGAAAGAAACAAGTCGAAGACACACAAGAGCAGCAAAACAAGAAGCAGATAGCACAATAAAGATGTCAGCCATAACAGATCACTGCACAAGATTATCATTATCACTTGTAAGTCGCTTTGGACAAAAGCGTCTGCTAAATACATAAACATATACATACTTGGCTTGGACAATCCTCTACCGTGCACCATCTTGCCACAGGAGTCCCCCAGGGCTCAGTACTAGGACCTCTTCTCTTTGCCATATACACCACCTCACTGGGTGAGATCATGCGATCACATGGCTTCTCCTACCACTGCTATGCAGACGACACCCAGCTCTATCTGTCATTTCCACCGGACGACCACACTGTCTCTGCAGGAATATCAAACTGTCTCTCTGACATATCAAAATGGATGAAATCCCACCATCTCCAACTCAATCTCTCTAAAACAGAATTACTTGTCATCCCAGCAAAACCATCCATACAACACAATATCTCAATCCAGAATGACTTCCTATCTCTGGCTCCTTCAAAGGCAGTTCGAAATCTGGGTGTTGTGATTGGTGAACACCTGACCGTTAAAGATCATGTTGCCTCTGTTGCTCGTTCATGCCGCTTTGCGTTGTATAACATACGAAAGATCAGACCATACCTAACACAACATGCCACCCAGCTCCTGGAGCAATCTACTGTCATCCCGCCTCGATTACTGCAATGCCCTTCTAACTGGTGTTCCAGCCTGTACTGTGAGACCTCTTCAAATGGTCCAGAACGCAGCAGAGCGTCTTGTCTTCAATCAGCCAAAAAGAGCACACGTCACCCCTCTGTTCATTGAGCTCCACAGGCTACTGCTAGCAGCACGCATCAAATTCAAATTGCTAACACTAGCATACAAAGTCCGAGATGGTACGGCTCCCATCTACCTGAATCCTCTTGCAAAGGGATACATCTCAGCCCGGCCGCTCCGGTCATCACAGGATCGTCGGCTAGCAGTGCCTACACCACGCTCAGGACAATCCAGACTCTTCTCATGCATCGTTCCACAAATGTGGAATGACCTACCAAGCACTACCAGAACGGGGCTTCCTTTTCGACTTTCAAGAAACTCCTGAAGACCCTGCTCTTCAGGGAGCATCTTCTTAACTAGCACCCTCCCTGCATCCGTCCCCCCCCCCCCCCCCCCTCTACCGTCCACTACTTTGTTCCCTCCTCTCCATGATTGATGTCAAATTGTTGTTGTTGTTATTGTTGTTGTTAGCCTCAAGGGCAATATGCCAATTATCACTTGTAAGTCGCTTTGGACAAAAGTGTCTGCTAAATACATAAACATAAACATAAACAAGAGAAAACCATATAATGGACTGGGACAACACAAGGATCATAAACACCGAACAACAGAAATACAAAAGATGGATAAAAGAAGCTATAGAGATAAGGAGACATGGATGCCGGACCATGAACAGGGACGATGGAGTTTACTTATTGGATCGTGCATGGGACTGCATCATCGGAGAGGGGAGAGACGGAAGCAGAGAGCGACAACCTCCTCTGCTGCCCGCGGATAAACAGAGTAGGAAGTGACGCCACCATCAGCGTCAGCTCTGAGGATGTTTGTAGTCACAAACGAAACATCAGCAAGGTAAAGAAAAACCTTATCTGTGTTTAAAAAAGAACCAAAAATGGAATTTGAAGACAAACAGGAAGAACGTACAAAAGACAACTGATGTAATTTTCTTTGATCTTAACTCATTTAAAGAGCTGTTCTCAGCTGGTAGGATCATAATGACGCTAACTCTTTCATTGCAGCAATAAAACAACTTTTTTTTATTGACATTGTAGCAGGAGTGGCTTCTGTGGTGTTCACACACGTGTTGATGACTGCTTGAAATGTGGATTTAAATGTTTACAGGTGGGAGTGAGATCAGAGGAGAGAAGGCAGTTAAAAGAGGAGGTGTCTCTGGGCAGAATACCATCCAGAGGTGAGTTGTTCACAAACGTGTTGTGCCTGCTGCAGTTCACTCAAACAACCGGACAACTCTCAACACTGCCACGGCGAAGCTCCCACTAGGTTTCGTTTAACTTTTCAGTTTGGCTTGCTTTTAGCACCCCCTAGTGTCCGTGAAAACTGTGAGTTTGCATTTTTAACACCATCTAACTGCTGAAATGTCTCCTCAGCCTTCGTTAGTTTCTACAAAAACATTTGATCACTAAATCAAACAAATCAGCTGTGCGGAAGCAGACTCCAGTTCAACTACGTTCAACCGAGACCAGACCGGCACTCTGAAGTTGCAGGTGCGGTATTCTGGCCACAGAGGGCGATGGAGGTCTGAGTGACTGATGACTGATTTCATTAATCCTGTAAAGGCTCATTTCAACACACGCTGACTCAAGAAAATCATTCATAATACCATGCTTTCGTTCTTTTTAAACACAGAAACAGTTTTGTTTACCTGTTTTGTAGCTACAGTTTCGCCGACGGCTGCCGTCGGCGAAACTGTAGCTACAAAACAGGTAAACAAAACTGTTTCTGTGTTTAAAAAGAACAAAAGCATGGAATTAGAAAGACACAGCAAGAACACACCTAAGATGTTCATTCATAATATTTAAAAATAACAGTTTATCTGTGCGTTACTACGATTCCATAAAGGCTCTAATCACACTCAGGCTCCACTTCATCAGATGTTGTATGAATCTGCATCCCTCCTCATAAATCTGCTCATCATGGGCTTTAATAACTCCTCGTTTATGCTCCCTCTGCAAAACGCCTGGCCAGTCATTAGTCTCGCTTATGTAAAGTAAAAATAGACTCGGTAAATCAGCAACAGTCGTCCCTCTCACTTAGAGTAGACTCAACCTCTTCTGAAATGTTGCAAACAGCAGGTTTGTTGTCTGCGTCTGCCGAACTTTTACCTGCTGGAGGAACAAAAGAAGGCGCCTTGTTGTGGATAATCAAATGATCCGAGTCTCCTGCTGCTGAAACACATAAATTAGCACGGAGTTGAATATTCAGCTCACAGTCAGAAGTGTCAGAATCATAATTAGGAAAAACAATGAAACTGAAGTCGATCCCTTAAATTACAAAAGGATTTCAAACAGAAAATCTATTCATGGAAGGTGTGTCTTCAGAGGTTTTCAAATGTATAATAAACAGATTTATCTGCAACCTTATGCTTCAGTACTCTGTCGTTTCCACAGCGCCGTCTCCACTGGGAAGCGTTGCTCTGTCACGAGGGAGTGGTGGAGGAGGAACAACCATGAGAGCCAGGGTGGCGCACCAACCAACTGGATCTAACCGCACCTTGCTGCCCTTTTCCAGGGGAGAGATCATCACTGTGTTGGTCCAACAGCCCAGGAACGGCTGGCTTTACGGCTGTGCAGAGAGCAGCTCATGGTCAGATGTTTGTATTCGGGTGGATGAAAGAGAAAATGTCTGCCTACAGCTGGATATGTTCCAGGACATTTTTAACTTCCAGTAACCTGAAATGATTGGCTTAATCTTTTCTTTGTCTTCAGTCAAGGATGGTTTCCAGCCTCCTACATGGAAGCAGTGGATGATCCTCCACAGTCCACCAGCTCCTGGTAAACGTCTGGCCCAATGGTCATGTTTGCCTTAAATGATACATTTATCCCGAGGCCGTTACTATTATTTTTGGGGCTAATGGTTTTAAAACAGGGCCAGCGTGAAACTCGGGCTGGGAATGAAAAAATGAGCTACTTAAGGTATTTGGGTGACCCGTTGCTGGGAGGAAACACTGTCAAACCTGTAAAACTAAAACTTTCCAACAGTCCCTGTGGGCCTGAGCACAGCAACACTAAAATAGTGGAGAGCACAACACAATGAACATTAGGAAAAAGGGAAACATTGTAGCGCATCACATCGTAGCGCATCACATTGTAGCGTCAAATCAAATCATCGTATCAAACTTAATTTATACAGCACTTTTCATGCACAGGAAGCAACACAAAGTGCTTAACAGATTAAAATGACCCATATAACCCACATTCCCTCCCTTTCCCACGCTTAAAACAATTGTGACAGTTTCACCCTAATCCATAAACCATTCCCAGGCGCGCGCACACACACACACACACACACACACACACACACACACACACACACACTCGTACATTAAAAGACCACAGTAAACATGTATCACATATCACATTGTAACGTATCACATCGTAACATATCGCATCGTAACGTATTGCATCGTAACGTATTGCATCGTAACGTATCGCATCGTAACGTTAGGGAAGAGCGAGTACACCACTATCTGTATCTGTATCTGTTCAACCATCTAAATTATCTGTATCTGTATCTGTACTCGGAGTGGGCGTGGCCTAACTCGGAAGGGGGTGTAGTTTAACCGGAAGTGGGTGTGGTTTACATCAATACGTTATTTGAAGTCTGATCAGAAGTTGCTATGTGTATTGTTTATTTGAAAACTATTTACAGAGCAGCCTCAAAGTTGAGATTAAATGTTTTTGATCACAATAGTAAAGGAACTATTACAGAACAAGTTTTTCAATAAAATCAGAACATTAATATTTGAGTGCATGAATTAAGAGAGAGAAGAAAAGATATTTTCTGTAGCGCCTCTCAAGATAAAAATCACGGGGCGCTTCACAAAAATAAAACATGTAAAATAGAAAAAAGAATTTAGAAAATGATTAAAATATATTTAAAATGAGCACAAAAAAAAGACAATTGTGATAAAAAATGTAAAGAAAGTGAGAGAGAGTGAATAGAAAAGAGGGTGTGGATCCTGAGGAAGAGGAGAGAGAGAGAGGGAAAAAAATGACTGGAGCGGAGGTAGTGACAGACGCAGCACAAGCCGTTTTCAGCTCTGTTTTGTCAAATGCACCACGTACGTTACGAAAAAAGTAACTTTAAATAACTTTTAAGTAACTTTTAAAAAGAAGCAAACTGAAGAATACATAGGGAGTACTGAAGAAATGTGAACAGTGAAGCAAGCACAGAGAGATCCATTACTGTCTGTGTGTGCGTGGATGGACCAGACGTGAACTGAGCCTTCAGCTCCCGGCTGCAGAGTTTTTTGTGTAGGGAGGGGCGGGCGCGCTATTTGACTGGCCAATCACAGAGCGTGAACACAGTCAGTTACCCAATGAGGATTTTCCTTCAGCACGATTACAGATATTTACTAGTTTTACTCGTTTCATGCTCGTACTCGTCAAAAATGCTTTATCCGTACCGGATACTCGTCTGAAACGAGTATCCGGCTCATCCATACGTAAGGCATCGTAACGTATCGCATCGTAATGTATCGCATCGTAACGTATTGCATCGTAATGTATCGCATCGTAACGTATCACATTGGAACGTATCACATCATAATGTATCGCATCATAACGTATCACATATCACATCATCACGTATCACATCATAACATATTGCATTGTAACATATTACATCGTAATGTATCACATCATAATGTATAACATCGTAATGTATCACATCGTAATTATCACATCGTAAAGTATCACATCGTAACGTATCACATCGTATCATATCACATCATAACGTATCACAATATAACATATTACATCGTCACTTATCACATCATAACGTATCACATCATAACGTATCACGTATTAAATCGTTATGTATTACTTCATAACGTATCACATAGTAACATATCACATCGTAACGTATCACTTCGTAATGTATCACGTATCACATCATAACGTATCACATCATAACATATCACACCGTAACATATCACATCATCACTTATCACATCATAACGTATCACATCATAACGTATCACGTATTAAATCGTAATGTATTACTTCGTAACATATCACATTGTAACGTATCACTTCGTAACATATCACTTATTACATCATAACATATCACATCATAACGTCTCAAATCGTAACGTATCACATCGTAACGTATCACATCGTAACGTATCACATCGTATCGTATCACATCGTAACATGTCACATCGTAATGTGTCAGATCGTAACGTGTCACATTGTAGAGTATTACATCATAGCGTAACACATCATAGCGTATCGCATCGTAACGTATCACATTATAGCGTATCGCATCATAGCGTATCACATTGTAGCGTGTCACATCGTAGAGTGTCGCATCGTAGCGTGTCACATTGTAACGTGTCACATTGTAGCGTATTACATCGTAGCGTATTACATCGTAGCGTATTACATCGTAGCGTATCACATCGTAGCGAATCACATCGTCGCGTATCACATCGTCGCGTATCACATCACAGCGTATCACATCGCAGCGTATCACATCGTAGCGTGTCACATCTTAGCGGATCACATCGTAGCGTATCACATCGTAGCGTATCACATCGTAGCGTGTCACATTGTAGCGTGTCACATTGTAGCGTATTACATCGTAGCGTATCACATCGTAGCATATCACATCGTAGCGTATCACATCGCAGCGTATCACATCGCAGCGTATCACATCGCAGCGTATCACATCAAAGCGTATCACATCACAGCGTATCACATCGCAGCGTATCACATCGTAGCGTGTCACATCTTAGCAGATCACATCGCAGCGTATCACATTGTAGAGTATCACATCAGAGCATATCACATCGTAGCATATCAGATTGTAACGTATCACATCATAGAGTGTCACTTTGTAACTTATCACATTGTAGCGCATCATATTGCAACGCATCACGTAACGAATCACATTGTAACAAATCACATTGTAACAAATCACATTGTAATGAATCACATCGTAACGCATCACATCGTAACGCATCACTTCGTAACGTATCACGTATCATATCGTAACGTATCACATCATAACATATCACATCGTAACATATCAGATCATCACTTATCACATGCTAACGTATCACATCATAACGTATCACGTGTTAAATCGTAATGTATTACTTCGTAACATATCACATCGTAACGTATCACATCGTAACGTATCACATCGTAACGTATCACATCGTAACGTATCACATCGTAACGTCTCACATCGTAACGTCTCACATCGTAACGTCTCACATCGTAACGTCTCACATTGTAACGTATCAAATCGTAACATATCACATCGTAATGTATCACATCGTAATTCATCACATCGTAATTCATCACATCGTAACGTATCACATCGTAACGTATCGCATTGTAACGTATCACATCTTAGCGTATCACATCGTAACATGTCACATTGTAATGTGTCAGATCGTAACATGTCACATTGTAGAGTATTACATCATAGCGTAACACATCGTAGCGTATCGCATCGTAGCGTATCTCATCATAGCGTATCACATCATAGCGTATCACATCATAGCGTATCACATCGTAGCATATCACATTGTAGCATATCACATCGTAGCATATCACATCGTAGCGTGTCACATCGTAGCGTGTCACATCGTAGTGTGTCACATTGTAACGTGTCACATTGTAGCGTATTACATTGTAGCGTATCACATCATAGCGTATCACATCGTAGCGTATCACATCGTAGCGTATCACATCGCAGCGTATCACATCGCAGAGTATCACATCGCAGCGTATCACTTCGTAGCGTGTCACATCTTAGCGGATCACATCGTAGCGTATCACATCATAGCGTATCACATTGTAGCATATCACATCGTAGCATATCACATCGTAGCATATCACATCGTAGCGTGTCACATCGTAGCGTGTCACATCGTAATGTGTCACATTGTAGCGTATTATATCGTAGCGTATCACATCGTAGCGTATCACATCGCAGCGTATCACATCACAGCGTATCACATCGCAGCGTATCACATCTTAGCGGATCAGATCGCAGCGTATCACATTGTAGCGTATCACATCAGAGCATATCACATCGTAGCATATCAGATTGTAACGTATCACATCATAGAGTGTCACATTGTAACTTATCACATTGTAGCGCATCACATTGCAACGCATCACGTAACGAATCACATTGTAACAATTCACATTGTAACAAATCACATTGTAATGAATCACATCGTAACGCATCACATCGTAACGCATCACATCGTAAAGCATCACATTGTGGTGTATCACATCGTGGCGTATCACATCGTAGTGTATCACATCATAGCGTATCACATCTTAGCGTATCACATCATAGCGTATCACATCGTAGCGTATCACATCGTAGCATATCACATCGTAGCATATCACATCGTAGCATATCACATCGTAACGTGTCACATCGTAACGTGTCACATCGTAACGCGTCACATCGTAACGCGTCACATCGTAGTGTATCACATCGTAGTGTATTACATGTGAAGTAGTGTGAAGTAGTGTGTGAAGTGTGTGTGGAGTGGCATCACATCGTAGCGCATCACATCGTAGCGCATCACATCGTAACTCATCACATCATAGCGCATCACATCGTTATGTATCACATCGTAACATCACTTTATAACAAATCACTTAGTAACTGCCCAAATCTAAATACATTAAATTGTGTGCATTGCACCACAGTAACCCATCATAGTGCTATGTAATATTTCATTATGTAATGTTGCACAATGTTACAATTTTACAATGAACAGAACATTTCACAGTGTGTTTCACAACGTATCATTTCATAATGTAACAGTAATGTAAAGTTTCACTACGTAACGTTTCGAAGTGCAACAATTTGCAACACAAAACAATTTGCAACACAAAACTTTGCAAGTAACAGCTTCTTTCCATCTGCCGTTAGACTTGTGAATAGATTATAAACACACAACCATGCTCGTCTTCTGTACTCGACACAACGTCACGTTATCGGCCATGTTACCATTACCTGCCATTTTTTATCGCTGAAAGTTTTATTCTTGTTTTTTTAATTCTATTTTATTCTATTTTTAATCTTATTATTCATGTTATATGTAGCACATTAGTACCGAAGCAAGTTCCTAGTTTGTGAATTGTTTGTTCACTGACAATGGCAATAAACCTATTCTGATTCTGATTCTGGTAACATTGCATCCCTAAACATTGCAGTACTCAACAATTTTTATGTATTTAAAAGTGATCAAGTTCAGTAAAAATACAATTTCACAAGCACCACTGAAAAAAACATTTAAAGCAAAACAACTAAAGAGGATTTTCTTGCCATATTCCAGTTACTCCACTGTTAAGAGCAACAGCAGTATGAGCAGCCTGTTTGACCGACCAGGAGTGGGCAACTACAACAACAGCAGAGCACCTCCACCTCCACCTCCACCACCATCACAAACTTCCTCTGTGAGTACACATTAGGGGACTTGTTCAATTACACAGGGTCAAAGTTTTATTCAGTAAAAAATAGAAAACTTCCAACTGAATCAAGTGGTGATTATTTATCTGATTGAAGTCAGTGCCAAAAGCTGTGAGACTGCTAAACTAGGCTGAGGTAATACAAATCACATGCTAGCATGTGGCTAGCAGTGAACAACCCTAATTATATAATTTATAACAGCGTATAATCTTGTTTTCTCAACAATCCTTCATTAATTAGTTACCCGTTTAAAAAACCTAACAATATGTTAACAAGGAACAAGCCGTTAGCTAGAATAAAAACCGTCTTAGTCATTGTACGTGGGCCCTAGGGTACAATTATACAACAACTTCTATGTGCAGAACTGGGTCAGCAAGCGTTACCAGCACTGATGGACACCCTGAAGACAGAAATATTTAAATATAATTGACAATGTTCCATTTAGAGGAATGGAGAAGAGTTCTAGTGGCAAACAAACATTATTAGGTTGTAACATTTCAGCTTTATGTTGTGATGTTTTAAGATAAAGGAGGTGACCTGGTGCTCCAGGCCAAAGTAATCGTCACTCGATCAAGTCGAGTGGCTTATAGCCAATCAAATTTCGCTTCTCTGATCACGTGACACTGGTGAGATGTAGAGTTGATCGGGTGACGATTGCTTTGACTTGGGTCAGGTCTTCTCATTTGTTGTTGAATTTCTGATGTTGAATGTTTGCAGATGACATTTTCATGTTGAAATTCTGTTGTTGAATTTTTACGGATGAAAACCTTTGCTGGTAAATTTTAAGTTCAACATATTCAAACACAAAATTTCCCAGAATAAGAATTCAGTGTCACTAATTCAATGTCTAAAAAAAGCCGTATTCTGCCTCTATTTCCTCCATAAAATAACCTTCTACGACACAAATGAATTACTGGTAGAAATGGAGATATTTGCCCTTTTGTCCAGCAGGGGTACTCTGGTAAGGTGCTGTTCTCCATGGCGCCACAGCCTTCCTTCTGGTGGATGCAGGGAGGGAGCTCCAGCTGCTGATGTGAGGCTGTACGAGTGCAGTAGCGGGGGGTGGGGGTGGTACACACCATGCATCTATCCTCAGTGGGTGTGGATTTAGAGGTGATGATGCTGGCAACATACAGATGTGGATAAAATTATAAAATTTCTTACTTTCTGTTAACGAGAAGAAAAAACCCACAGTGGTGTTTCAGATAAATTAAAATCAATTAAAGAACCAAGAGGCTAAAAGAAAAATACTAAAATTAGACATTTTTGAATTGTGATAAAAAGGAATTAGACAAACAGGAAGTGGTTTGCCTGGACTAAAATGATGGCACACACAGTTTAATATTTTGTTGCTAAACCTCTAGAAAACGAAAGTCCTTCACCTGTCCACAGGTATTCTCGTCAAAACTGCTCCAACTGGTCTAAAGGGTTCCTTCTCCAGATGTTTCAGCCGACTTAGGTCAGAGCTCCCATCAGACTAGTTCTGATCCGTTTTGGTGTTTTATCAGTGTTGGGTCTTGATCCTGTTGGATGGTGTGTGTGTGAAATATGTTCAGTACCAGCAAATCCGGAGAGACTATTAGTTCTGAGTGGGAGTGAAAGGGTGTTTCGCTCTAAGCTTTGGTTTGGAGATTATAACACACATTGAGACGCCATCTGTCAGTCTACGTACCTCAACGGAAGTCCTTGTATAGATCCGAAATGTCGGGGGTCCAGCTTGGACTCTCTTGGAACCGACGCCTGTAGATATGCAGCGGTTGCCGACCCTTCCAGTCTTGAGTTACTCCTGAGTCACGACAGTTTATTGGCATCAACGAGACCCTGAAGGGTCGTGATGGTTCAGCTTTTATTCTGAAGGAACCGTTGCAGCAGGTGGAACATGCAACAGATTGAATCCAGCTTGTAGTTAGGTTCTTTCGGCTTTAAGAGGAAAGTTACGGATTGGCCACTCCGATAACTTCTCTAGAACTCTTGGAACTGAAGTTAAGATGACGTGGGGCATAGTTTTATAATTTGGATGTTTTGATTTACAGTCGAATCAGAATTTGACAACAAAAGGGGACTATACAAGCACCAACAAAACCACGCCTCGCGTCAGATCTGGAAGGTTCTGATTGGACAGAAAAAAGAAATGTGTCATGTGACTTTAGCATTACATGTGATCAGTCTAGTGTAAATATTTAAAGTTATATTACTTATTAAAATACTATCATAGGATTATAATATCAAGTAATTAATATTCCTATTTCACAGATTGATTGAACATTAGCTTCACATGATTATTTGGACTGACAGACGTTATTTAATTATTATTTAAAGAGAAAGAGTTCTTCTTTCTTTTTTCCTGTGCTGTCCGGGGAAGCAACAGTTTAGATAAGAGCACAGAGCATGAGTGGCCTTGGCCCATATCTTGTAGATTAGGCTTGTGTCAGAAACCTATGGTTTTGCTTGGGCAGAGCAAACAGAGCAGGGCCTTTTAGGTCAAAGATGGACAATTCATCACGCTACAGGGGGATTTCCAGAGTCTGTAGAGACCCACACGACATCAGAAAATGATACGAAAGGTCAGATTTGTATAATATGCCCCGTTTAAACTGGCAGATTAGTCATAGAACCCACCTCAGTTGAACTTGTCTCCAGGGTCACCTTAGCTTACATCTTCTCCAGAGATGCCATCGCTTCATTCCAGGACAGCTTCATCAGTTTTTACAAATATTCAGATGAGCCACAATTCAAAACCAGTTTTCTGGAGTCAGTGAATTTTTTATTCGTAATTAATAAATTATTTCTTTGATATGTATTTCCTTTCTTTAACAGACAAGTTTCAAAAATGTTGTCTCCATCTGTATTTTCAGGCTCATGACAAACAGTAGTGTGATATTTCCTGACATGCCTCTGCACGTTCTCAGTAGCTGTTACCTCTTTTTTTCTGTCTCTGCTGAAGTGAAGTGTGTGTGCAGTGGCCTCGTTCAGCACACCAGTGGACGGTGGAGGCTGCTGAGCCTCCATTAAAGCAGGTGGCTAGAGTTTTCTGATCCTTTTCATCTTCTTTCTGCAGAAATCACAAGAGCAAAGATCACAAAGCGAACTCTTCCCGAGGTAAGAACGGAGCCGCTGCAGCTTTGCTCTGAGCGGAGACGGGCGGTTAAAGTGAAGGCCACTCGCGCCCTGCTTTAGAGGAGCCGATGGGTTTCTTTAGTGTATCATGAAAGCCATTAAACATGTGCACGACAGATGAGGTCAATAATGTCACTGGATCAGAATTGCTTTGCTTCCATTAGAGTCTGGAGTGCATGTGAAACGGTTTCTGCTACGGGCGTTTAAGAACCGTGACTATCACCGTCCCGTCAGATGAGCAGCTCACTAAATGATGTTTGAACCGTTGAAATGTGTTAAGTTGTGACCCTGCACCGTCAGGCGTAGCAACGCCACAGTCGCTTGACATATTTGCACAACCTGTTGTCTGTGTTCCTTTGTTTTGTTGCTCTAACAAGCCTCGTCGTGTCGTTTTGCAGGGGTTCCAACCCGTTTGCCACAGTTAAACTAAAGCCCACGTCCACCAACGACAGATCAGCACCGCGTCTGCACCGGAGATGAAGTCAAAACCTCGGGTGGCGGATTGTGCAACTAGAAGCTCAACTAGAAGCTCTACGAAAGCGACAAGTTGTTGTTTATTTGTTTTGTTGATGATTCAGTTCGCCATAGTGCCCATGTCCAAAACGCACATATAAATCTAGTCAGAAAGTGAATGTAAACTGTGTTTTTTAATAATAATAATGTAGTGACCCAGAGCGTCTCAGCAGCAGTCCCCAACTCAATCAGCAGGAGGCAGTAGTGGTTCACACCAGACCTTTATTAGGCTTCTTCTTCAACGCTTTACAGACACCGAACATCTATCACGCTCCTACCACACAGAGTCACGGTGTCAGTTAACCATGCTAATTCAACCCGCTCCACAGAACACACATCACCTTCCTTGTGGCTTACATTAACATAACACTCAAATCAACACATAGAAACTAGCAGAATGATAGGAAACATATACAACACAATACCCAGAATGCACCTGGCTTACAACCCCAGCCAGGTCATTACAATAATAATAATAATAATAATAATAATAATGATAATACAATGAATTAGTGATGCACTTTACATTTCACTGAAATCTCTAAGTGCTACAGCAGAATTCAAGACATCTAGAAACCAAAGCCAGCAAGTTAAAACAGTTTAACCGTCTGTTTCTATAACTCCCCACGCTCTGTGCTGCTCTTCTGGGAGCGCTCCACAAACGTGGAGCAGCAGCTTGGAAGCTCCTGGGCTGTTGAAGGGGTTGGGAGTCGCTGGGGCGTAGATTTCTTGAGGTGATGCACAAAGTAAGGAGCTCTTTCAGATAGACGGGAGCATTTCCATCGATACGCTGATGAGTAAGGAGGCAGAGTTTGTACTGATTTCTGTAGGAGACTGGTAACCAGTGGAGAGCCTTGAGAACTGGTGTGACGTGACCCCTTGTCAGGAACCTGGCAGCACAGTTCTGGATACGCTGAAGCTTCTGCAGGCATCCAGCAGAGATCCCAACATGGAGGACATTACAGTAGTCCCGCTGGGATGAAACAAAGGCAAGGATCACTCTTTAAGCATCAGGTTGGGAGAGAAAGGGTCCAAGTGTGGCTGTTTTTGAGGTGGAGATAGAAGCCGACATTTACATTTGGCAGCTTTGACTTTCTTTAGCGCCCCCTAGTGTCTGTTTAGTTGAACCAAAAGTGAAACCATTTGTGTATTTGTCTTTTTAGCACCTTAATCGAACAGCTGAAATGTCTCCCCAGCCTTCATTAGTGTCTACAGGAGTGTTTCACCACTAAATGAAACAAATCAGCTGTGTTCACGGCCTGAAACGTGCTGGAAGCAGACTGCAACACTGGAATGTCAGCTTCATTTTTATATATATCCAGCGGGTGGCGGGCCGACACTCTGAAGTTGCAAATGAGGTATTCTGGCCACTTCTGGTGACATTTCACGAACCTTGTAAAGGGTCGTTTAAGCGCATACTGGCTCAAGAAAATGATTTAAAATATAAAAAAGTTGCTTAGTAAAGGAACTTTAAACGACACTGTGTATGGACAAAGTTTTAAACAGAAACTTCACATCTTCACAAGTGGATTTCTGGGGAAAGCTTATGAGATTCTATCATCTTACCCAGTTTGGTGAACAACCTAAGTTTGGAAAAATAGTGATTACTTTTAGTCTAATTGATATGCTAAAGGCTAGCCTCATTGGAATCAAAACGAGTATTTTTATAAAAGTATTAATATTATTACTAAGTATCATATTTTTGAAATCCTAAATTTGAATTCCCTTGCTTTGTAGTAACAGCTAATAGCAACAGCAGCTAGCTCTAGCACTGCTAATAATAATAACAACAACGACAACAATAGCAATAAAGATAATAATAAGTTAGAATCCTCTGAAAATTTTCAAGACACCTAAAGTGCTTTATAGAGAACCCATCATTCACACTCATTCACATCCTGCTGGTGATGTTAACCACATCATCACCTCAGCTGCCTGGAAGCAGTCTCAGAAGCGAGGCTGCCATTTTGCACCGTTGGCACCTCCGTCCACAACCAACAAACAGCAAGTCAGGCGAAGCGTCTTGCCCCCTGGAAAAAACAAGATTTTCCTGGTTAGAAGCTGGGATCAAATTGCTAACCCTTCGATTACTGGACAACCTGTTCCACCTACTAAACATCTCCACCCCTCAACATCTTACCCTCATCTTTGTTTAAAAGTGCTTTTCAGTCCATCGGTCCCAGCGTGCTCTCTATAATTAATGCTTCTCTGGTTTCTGGTCAGGTCCCCGCTTACCCACCCACTTCTTAAAAAAACAAGTCTTGACGCCTCTCTCCATTGCAGCTTCAGACCCATCTCTAAACTTCCGTTCATCTCCAAGATCTTGGAAAAGGTTGTGGCTAAACAACTCACAGCTGCTCTTGATGAACATGACATCTATGATATCTTCCAGTCAGGTTTTCGTAGAGTTCATTCTACTGAAACAGCTCTTCTTAGGGTCTCTAATGACCTTCTGACTCACAGTGATGCAGGGGACTGTTCTGTTCTGGTCCTGTTGGACCTGACTGCAGCCTTTGACACTGTTGACCATCACCTGCTACTGGAGAGGCTGAGAGACTGGGTAGGCCTATCAGGATCTGCTCTGGAGTGGTTCTCCTCTTATCTTTCTGAGCGCTCCTTCTCTGTGGCCGTCTCCAAGTTTAGGTCCTCCACCACCTCCCTTACCCATGGTGTCCCACAAGGCTCTGTGCTGGGGCCTCTGCTCTTCCTTCTCAATCTGCTCCCTCTTCAGCACCTGAACATCCTGAGCTCCTTCAAAGGAATCTCCTACCATCTTTATGCAGATGACATCCAACTGTACATCTCCTTTAAGCCCCATGAGATGTCTAAGCTGCAGCTGTTACACACCTGCTTAGACTCTATCAAAACCTGGATGGCTGGGAGCTTTCTTCAGCTGAATGAAGATAAGACTGAGATCCTCATCTGTGCCCCAGACAAGCTGGTTCCCAAAGTCAGAGACTCTCTTGGTCAGCTTGCTTCTCACACCAAACCTTCTGTCAGGAATCTTGGCGTGACCTTTGACCCAGCTCTCACCCTGGATCCTCATGTCAGTTCTCTTGTTCGCTCTTCCTTCTTCCATCTCAGGAACATTGCTAAGCTGAGTCCCATTCTGTCCTGCTCTGAACTTGAGACTGTTCTCCACACCTTCATCTTCTCACTCTTAGACTACTGTAACTCTCTTTTCACGTGTCTGAGCAGAACCTCCCTGAACCGTCTACAGGTGGTTCAGAACGCCTGTGCTCGGCTTCTGACCAAGTCCTCCAAACACACCCACATCACCCCGCTTCTCCTCCAGCTTCACTGGCTGCCAGTCAACTTCAGGGTTCATTTCAAGATTCTGGTTCTGGTCTATAGGGCCTTACATGGACAAGCACCATCTTACATTGGTGATCTTCTTAGTCCCTACACCCCCAGCAGGTCCCTGAGGTCCAGTGACCAAAGCCTACTGGTTGTGCAGCACCAGGCTAAAGACCAAAGGTGACAGATCATTTGCTGTTGTGGCCCCCAGACTCTGGACCTCTCTCTCCCTCTGAGCCTGAGATCAGTGGACTCAGTGGTCTCCTTTAAAAAGCAGCTGAAGACTCACTTGTTAAGGCTTTGGTGTGACCTTTATCACCACCCTCTCCTCATTCTGCTCTTATTCCGCCACAGATCTCCCTCTTTCTTAATCATTTTCTCTCTCCCTTTCCTTACATTTGTAATCACAAATTTTCTCATCTTAAACATATTCTTAATAACTTTTAAAAATCTTTTTATACTTAAATGTATTTTTTTGTGAAGCGCCTCATGATTTTTATCTTGAGAGGCGCTAAATAAAAGATTGTTGTCTGTCTCTTTTCTTTCTAAACTGCAGTTGTTTTTAAAGTTACGGCTCACAAAAAACAAATTTTTCACGCTGAAGTTATTCTATGTAATCCACTTGGATATTTGCTCCAGTCCGACTAGCCATTAGCTTATCAATCTGGTTACTAATCTGTGATTCTCCAACCCGGGGTTGTTTATATAACAACATAATATTATTAATTCACAAGTTGCTCCTGCTTTAAAAGATTTGAACTATAATTAAGTCATCATTCCTCCTCCGATGTTTCTGGAAGACTTTGAGACTGGATGATTTAGTCAGAGCTGACAATGGGAATCAGTTTACGTGAAAATGTGACCATTAAAGAATGTTTTCCTGTGTGTGAAGTGTACTGCCATGTAATTGATGATTTCTGTATTTTTGGTCTGTTCCATTTATATCCACACCTACATGTAAAATTAAGCTTGTTGCTAAATATTAAATGGAAAATGGCTTGTGAAGAATTATAATGTAGCCTGGGGCAAGGAACATTTTTCAGGTAGAAGTGTTATGAATAACGATTTGTATTATAGGGTGATTTCATGTCAACGTTTATGTGGTGTAATTTATTTGAACCTGTTATCGGTGCTGGAGTACCAATAGATCCATGGATGATTCAGCTCTGAACTTCCTTTTGTGAATAAATGAATTTAAAGTCTGTGTTTACTCGGATTTATAACTAACTGGAACGGATGATGAACTCAGTGGGTTTTCATTAGATGTACCAGCGGCAAATGGCTCTGAACGACGAGTCAGGAGGGTTTTCTTTGTTCAGGATTGATGAGCTAACCGCTAGTTCAAGCACAGACAAATAAAGAGTGGACTGTTGCCGTATTTTAACAGCAAGCTGGTTAAAGTATCTTTGGTGTGTTCTTACTGTGTTTAGTTTCCAATTCCATTTTTGGTTCGTTTTAAAACAGGAAAGGTTTTTCTTTACCTTGCTGATGTACGTTTCGTTTGCCGACTGCAAAACGTCCTCGCCAACGCGTCAGCTCTGAGGATGTTTTGCAGTCGGCAAACAAAACGTATACGTCAGCAAGGTAAAGAAAAACCTTTCCTGTGTTTTAAAAAGAACCAAAAATGAAATTGGTTAAAGTATTAAATCATTTCTAACAAAATCCCTAAAACATCCCTCTAGCGATCACTTTCCAACTTAATTTTAAATCAAATCCTGTTACGTGAAACGTCCAGCAGGAGTTACTGCCTTCTGCTGATATCCATGTTATGTAAAACTTTACTGCACTTAGAAATTATCATTCTTAGAGATCAGCGTTCATTTCATTGACAAAATATTTTATTTTTTTGTGAAGAATTAATTTTTGCAAACAAAAACGAAACTTACATTTGTTCTTCTATTAAAGATTGAATTATGATGAATGGTGACCGACGTTTTTGCCAATGAGTAAAAGACTACGGAAATCGACTGTAACAAAAATCCAACCAGAAAACGGAAAAGATGGGAGAAAAGAAAAAAGAACCAATCAAGTGTCGGCCACTGTTTGAACAAGCTAATGCTAACCGCATACATCATATGTTGATGTTTATGCTGGTAACAATTGAACAGTTCATGTCTAAAGGGAGAAAATGTCCACGGCTGTTGCGGTGGTTGGTAGTAGGGGGGCAGTAATGCTGAAGCAGAACCGAACTCATGAAGTGGAGCATCTGGTTGTTTAAACATTTGTGTTGCTCTGCTACAACCATAGGGAGCCTAAAGCTTGGTTCATGCTTGACGCGTCTGCGAGGTTCTCACGGCTCCGCGTGGTGAAATTACATCATTTTAACAACCACGCCCCTCCACCGCGCCTCCGCACGGCCCAAAACTTTCACACCGCGCACCTAGGAAATTTTCTAACCACGCGGACGGTCGGATGTGGAAAAACATGGCGGACCGACAAGAACTAGTATGGCAGAGGTTGGTAAATACAGACATTTGTATGATTCAGCTCTCAAAGATCACCGTGATCAACATGTTGTAAATAATTCTTGGAGAGAAATAGCTCGGAAAAGACGAGGACGCTGTTAAAAAATGCTGGCATGCCATGTTGTAAACAACAGTAATTTTTACTTCTACTATGGTGTAGTGTTGGATGCATGCCGTAGAGCTCCATGCTGCCCCCTACAGTTTGGGAGAATATTGGCTCACCGCAGAGACAAGCTGGATGAACCATAAACGCTGCGAGTTGTGAAGCGCGTTCCATCCGTGAGCCGCACCACCAAGCGGAAAGTGAATGCGTCAAGCATAAACCAAGCTTACGTCACGCCCATCTACTTCCGGACCACGGGTCCCCTGTAGAACGAAAAAATGAAAGCAAGCCAACGGGGCTAAAAACACTATTTTCTAATAAAAAAAAAATAAGTCCAGGACTACAAATGTGCTTCCCGAAAGTGATGTCATCAAACCAGACACGGAGAAAACTGAGGGAAAATGGCTGTAAGTTCAGCAAACTTCCTACAGGAGCAAAGAACCACCATAAATCTGGCCATGTGGTAAGTAGCAGCTACGCTAGGGGAGGGGAGGTTATGTGGTGATGTCACATATGTGACGTGCCGACATAGTCAGGCTAATTACGAACTTTTACAAGCTTAAAAAAACCTCAAAGTACATGACTGGCGTGGTCGAAACATCCATCATTACTTTTCATTTAAATTCCAGTACAACATGTGTGTGATCCAGGGCATAAGGCAAAGCAGATTAGGAAGTAGCGTTTTTAGCCCCGTTGACTTGCATTCATTTTTTCCTTCTTCCGGGGACCCGTGATGCAGAAGTTATTTAGTCTCTCTATAGTACAATCAGTGTTTGGTGGTATGATGTCATTTCCTGCAGTGTTTACAAATATTACTGCACATTAGGCAGATTTGTTTACTATATTAATACTGAGAGACACAATTCCAAAGAGTCAGTGTTCGTTTTGGTATTTTCCATTAACCATTGTTATTAAAATAAACATATAAAGTTTTGTTGATCCAAAGTGTGAAATAAGAATATTTCCTATTGCTTTAGTTTCGTGAAGGTGTAGTTAACATGAAAATGTTTGCAGCAGAAGAAAAATGAATTGTGACTAAAATTAAAAAGAATTTTAGGTAAAAGACTAAAACTAAGATAAACAGCAGTGGGAGTGGCACCTTCAACATCGCTGACGTGGGCGACCGTAAGAAACCGAGACTGTCAACAAATAAGGAAAAATGGAAACTTGGCTAATCTGTACGAGATAATAACAGAAAAACAACTAGAAAAGAAACAGAACACAAGAAAACTAAAACTAAATAACATTTTCGTGTCAAAATGTACATGTTAGTGCTGCTTTAAGAAGGGAGAATACCCCTGTTGGCTGCATTTCAGACTAGCTGTTAGCTCATCAATCCTATTTCCCCAAACTGAAGCCAATCAGGAAGCCATCAAGACAGTATTCATGACTTTTACTCAACACACATCTAAATGGCTAAATATGTTATTTCTGACCACAGATCCTTCTCACTGAAGTGTTCCACTGGCAGTATTTGGCAGTGAGGCAGCATGATGAATCATGGAGAGGCAGAAACAAAGGAGTGGACAGTAGAGTGGGGGGATGGGTGCAGGGAGGGTGCTAGTTAAGAAGATGCTCTCTGAAGAGCAGGGTCTTCAGGAGTTTCTTGAAATTCGAAAAGGAAGCCCCTGTTCTGGTAGTGCTTGGAAGGTCATTCCACATTTGTGGAACGATGCAGGAGAAGAGTCTGGATTGTCCTGAGCGTGGTGTAGGCACGGCTAGCCGACGACCCTGTGATGACCAGAGCGGCCGGGCCGAGACGTAAGCCTTTGTAAGAGGATTCAGGTAGATGGGAGCCGTACCATCTCGGACTTTGTATGCTAGTGTTAGCAATTTGAATTTGATGCGTGCTGCTAGCGGTAGCCAGTGGAGCTCAATGAACAGAGGGGTGACGTGTGCTCTTTTTGGCTGATTGAAGACCAGACGCGCCGCTGCATTCCGGACCATTTGAAGAGGTCTCACAGTACAGGCTGGAACACCAGTTAGAAGGGCATTGCAGTAATCGAGGCGGGAGATGACAGTAGATTGCACCAGGAGCTGGGTGGCATGTTGTGTTATGTATGGTCTGATCTTTCATATGTTATACAGCGCAAAGCGGCATGAACGAGCAACAGAGGCAACATGATCTTTAAAGGTCAGGTGTTCATCAATCACAACACCCAGATTTCGAACTGCCTTTGAAGGAGCCAGAGATAGGAAGTCATTTTGGATTGAGATATTGTGCTGTATGGATGGTTTTGCTGGGATGACAAGTAGTTCAGTTTTAGAGAGATTGAGTTGGAGATGGTGGGATTTCATCCATTTAGATATGTCAGAGAGACAGTTTGATATTCGTGCAGAGACAGTGTGGTCGTCCGGTGGAAATGACAGATAGAGCTGGGTGTCGTCTGCATGGCAGTGGTAGGAGAAGCCATGTGATTGAATGATCTCGCCCAGTGAGGTGGTGAATATGGCAAAGAGAAGAGGTCCTAGTATAGAGCCCTGGGGGACTCCTGTGGCAAGATGGTGCACGGTAGGGGATTGTCCAAGCCAAGATACACTGAATGATCGTCCTGTGAGGTACGATTCAAACCAGGCGTGTGCTTTCTCTGTGATGCCCATGGTAGAGAATGTGGACAAAAGGAAGCCATGGGTGACAGTGTCAAATGCAGCCGATAAGTCGAGCAGGATAAGCACTGAGGATTTGCCTGTCGCTCTAGCTTCTTTTAAGGATTCCGTCACTGCTAACAGAGCAGTTTCAGTGGTGTGGCCCTTTTTGAACCCAGATTGGTACGGGTCAATCAGACAGTTTTGTGAGAGGTATTCTGTGATCTGCTTGAAAGCCATCCTTTCAATGATTTCGGACAGAAAATGGAGGAGAGAGATAGGTCGGTAGTTCTCCACATGATTTGGAGGAAGGGATTTTTTTTTTAGCAGCGGTTTAACCTGAACATGCTTGAGAGAGGTGGGAAATGTACCGGATGTCAGTGAAGCGTTGATCACGTGTGACTGCTGTGGCTACTGTAGGAGCAATAGCTTGGAGCTGTTCCTGTCCCTGTGCACATCAGATCTTTATTTATTTACATGGACATTAAAGTGTCCCTCTATAGAGATTCCTGTGCTGCCTATTTAAACTCTCTGCTGGGGATACTTAACCTAAATCGAACCTTGGTGTGGATCCAATTCTGCTAATAGCCTGACGGCAGCACCACACTTTGGCTGCGATAAAAAGCTTTTCTCTCTGTGACAAAAGTCCTTCATTAACTTGACTGTTGTCCAAAACGCAAATAAAAGAGTCAGAGGTCTAATGTGCTTTTTACTTTTTCATTTTATTTCATCCTTTTACAGCTTGACACTTTTTCTTTACAGCATCTCATCGTCTGAGCACAGAGTGATGGATGGAGGGAAGGGTGAGGTGATGGGAGGAGAAATGGGAGAGTCAGTGCAGGGAGGGGACTGAGCCAGAGGTGATGAACTGGAGATAAAAGGAGGAAAAAAGCAGAAAGGTGAAGAATTAGGAGGAAAAAATGAGAAAAAGAGCAGGAAATGCTACGTTTTCCTTTAAATGTGTTTTATTCCTACAGGTTTGCTTTATCTCTATACATAAACCCAAAAAGAGCAGTTTGTATAAAAAGGATGAAATAAATAGGGTCACTGCAGCTTGTGTGGAGGAGAGAGAGGAGACAAGGGGAAGGGATTTGGCCGGACTGGCGGGTGGGGAGCAGGGGGAGCAGGGGGAGGGACGGGGAGGTGGCCAGGATGTGCCGGTAGGTGGGAGGTGGTCTTTCATTGTGAGGGGTGGCTGGTTATTCTTTCACAAGGGCAGAAAATTCTGAAAGACAAAAAAAAAGATTGTGTCAGAAATCGGTTCAGTTCAAACCAGATCAGGACCTTTTTTAATAGAACGGTCAACGATGGGTAACGTAACTTTAATGGTTGCAACCGTGCTTATTTTTTTAGTTAGTACAACAACACAATGAAAATAAACAAACAAATACGCAGATACATTAGTGAACCTCAGGATTCACCTTTATTTCCACACATTTTCCACCAGTGTGGTAAAAGTACACGGGTACCGCCACACAGTCGCTGACAACTGTTTGAGCCCTCAGCTTGAATCGAGGATTTCTGTCTGAAAAGGGAATTTTATTTTCAAACCACAGTTTTATTCCAACAATGTCGGATCCCCGTTCACACCTGGAGCATCTGTGACGCGTTACAGCAGCAGCACATGGAAGCCATTGTAGTCTACGGTTTGATTCACACCAAGCGCTTCAGGCGCATGCTAGAAGTGTCTCCGTGCTAAAGACAGGATCGGGTTCTATTTATGATGCAACGCACTTCTGAGACGCGTCAAGGTCCGATGTTTACCCTAACCCTCAGATGGCTGGATCCGGAGTCTTATTTCCTGATATTTGGACATCTCGCCTCTGATTGGCTAACGGCAACACGATTCTACCACTAACTCTGTTTGCTCTGCAACGTTGATGTTTTATTTACACAAATGACACAAGTCTGGAGGAGTTCTGCTGTGTGGTGGAGTTGCTAATGTTAGCAGTTAGCTTCTACTAGCTGAGACGTACGCTGCTGTTTCCTGGACGCTAAACCAACAACAGCCTTCCCCGTCATGAGCCAAGATAGGTGAGTCCATGAATGCTAAGTGACAGTGTGACGTAGATCTGTCAGGACCTGTCTGTTTTCTATCAGAAGCTAATGCAGGAGACAGGTGTAGGAGACTATTTTCATGTTCAGACTGCATGAAAAGCTCTGAGTGACCCGTTAGAATAGAAATCAGAGTTGGATGGTCAGTGTAAGACATAAAAAAATAGTTCTCCCGTGCTTTTGTGACCTCACAAGTCCAACTTGGCCGACAGCGCCACCACTGCTCCACGTTTGAAACTCTCCCCGTGCGAATTGACGCACGGCGGCGTTCACCAGTAAACGGCGCTAATGCGGAGGCACCCGGTGTGAATTCTAAACCCATCAACAAGAACGTGCTGAACTTAACGATTAAACGGAGACTTGCCAGGCTAGAAAAGCTCAGCAGGAAGTGTGGTGTTTTTATCTAAATATGTTTGTTATGCAGGAGGCTTACAGTTTCAGACAATTCACACACATCTGTGGTGCCTTTTGAAATAAAAAAATAATATTTCTTTCTGAGATTGATGCTGTTTCCTTTGGGAGATGCACACAAACCTAATGCAGCCAGCTCAGTGATGCATTGGCTTGTTTCCTGTCTGAAGCGACACCGCAAAAGGAGCAGATGACGATAGTTTCAGGTTAGAACAAAGCGCTGCGTGCTGGCCGTCCCACTTCACAGCTGTACGTCAGTTTGACCTCGGCTGCTGGAGGCATGAATCAACTTTGACTGGCTCATTCTGCCACTGTGCTGACATTGATGCATAACAAGTCGCATCATGCCCGGTTTGAGAGGTTTGAACACACTGCGTCCGATAGTTGATGTGCCGTAAAATAAAGGAGAATCCGTGAGTGTGCAGCGGCGAGTTAGAGCTACAGGCCACACAATAAAATATGTTCTCAATCATTACTATGGGGGAGGAGCAAAATGGAGTCGAGACAAAATTATTGTCATACTTGTATGTGAAAAATAAAATCCCTAATTTTGACTTCAATATGCACAAAATGTTTTCAAAACATTCACAAATTTCCCGAAATTAAAGGTAAAACTTACAAAAATGACTCCCGTTCTCTGAGAACCTAAAGGATCATTAGGAACACCTGTTCAACTTCTCCTTAATGCAATTATCTAAACAACCAATCACATGGCAGTTGCTTCAATGCGTTTAGGGGTGTGGTCCTGGTCAAGACGACCTCCTGAACTCCAAACTGAATGTCAGAATGGGGAAGAAAGGTGATTTAAGCTATTTTGAGTTCTGCTCAGTTACTGGGATTTTCACCCACAACCATTTCTAGAGTTTACAAAGAATGGTGTGAAAAGGGATAAACCTCCAGTATGCGGCAGTCCTGTGGGCGAAAATGCCTTGTTGATGCTAGAGGTCAGAGGAGAATGGGCCGACTGATTCAAGCTGATGGAAGATCCTAACACTCGTTACAACCGAGGAACGCAGCAAAGCGTTTGTGAAGCCACAACACCCACAACCATGAGGCAGATGGGCTACAACAACAGAAGACCCCACCGGGTACCACTCATCTCCACTACAAATAGGAAAAAGAGGCTACACTTTGCACCAGCTCACCAAAATTGGACGGTTGAAGACTGGAAAAATATTACTTGGTCTGATGAGTCTCCATTTCTGTTGAGACGTTCAAATGGTGGAGTCAGAATTTGGCGTAAACAGAATGAGAGCATGGATCCATCATGCCTTGTTACCACTATGCAGGCTGGTGGTGGTGGTGTCATGGTGTGGGGCATGTTTTCTTGGCACACTTTAGGCCCCTTAGTGCCAACTGGGCATGGTTTAAATGCCACGGGCTACCTGAGCATTGTTTCTGACCATGTCTATCCTCCACCATACCCATCCTCTGATGGCTACTTCCAGCAGGATAATGCACCATGTCATAAAGCTCCAATCATTTCAAACTGGTTTCTTGAGCATGACAATGAGTTCACTGTACTACAACGGCCCCCACAGTCACCAGATCTCAACTCGATAGAGCATCTTTGGGATGTGGTGGAACGGGAGCTTCATGCCCTGGATGTGCATCCCACACATCTCCATCAGCTGCAAGATGCTATCCTATCAGCATGGGCCAACATTTCTAAAGAAGGCTTTCAGCACCTTGTTGAATCAACGCCACGTAGAATTAAGGCAGTTCTGAAGGTGAAAGGGGGTCAAACACCATATTAGTGTGGTGTTTCTAATAATCCTTTAGGTGAGTTTCCAGGAATCAAATTTAGAATTTAGGGACATTGCTGCATCATGAATTCTTCAGAACACCTGGAAACTTTCACAGTGTTAAGGATTAAAGATAGGTTCATGAAAAATCAGGTCACTACTGAGATAAAACCAAGATTTTGGATTTAGGAGTCAAAATAAGTCACTTCTTGTTCATGTATTGTCGGTCCTGAGTGGAAAACGAGGAGGTTCAGTCTTACTTCAAAAGGAATAATTATAAGGAATACATAGCAACTATGATGAACGGGACCAGATGTGGAATTGCAGTACCACCCCACATCACCAGAGGTGAGAGTGGACCAGTGTGCTGGGGAGGACATCTGGGTGTGTCCCAACCAGGACAACAGAGAGCGTAGCTCCAAGTCTGTCTAAACTGAGTTTATGTATTTTAGAGACTTTCTAAATTTCTAGTCACCACCTTCAAACCCGCGTTTCCTTCCACGAATAAAAAGATGGCTGTTTAGCTCCTTCAGTCCCTGGCGCTTTAGCGTCATCTAACATTTTCCGCGAGATGTTCTCCGATCTGTTCCGCACAGTTCGTGATTTCTTTACGGCCGCCTTGTGCTTCCATTTGCTTGTGCCGTGCCCTTTCGGACAACACCAGAAAAAGTTAGTGCCGCTCTTTACCTTCAATGCCAATCTTGCCGTCTCCGTCCATGTCGGCTGCTTTTATAAAGGCTTTGGTCTCTTTGTCCGTCAGGTCCCTGGCGTTTTTGGAAAAACTCTTCAGGACAAATCTTTGACAAAGACAAATAAAAGCAGATCTAGTCATGAAATGCACTTTTGTTGCTGTGTTCGTCTGAGTGTGCTCTGTCTCACTTGAGCTCCTCTTCCTCTATGAAGCCGCTGTTATCTGCATCCAACGCTGTGAAGACTTTCTTCACATCATCAGAGGACTTGGACTTCAGACCCAGCATGTCGAAAAACTTCTTGTGGTCAAAAGACTCGGCGGCTTCAGGCATGTGAACACAGAGCTCCACAACATCAACATTCTTTGACTATTTCCATTAGTCCATTCACAATTTAAACGAAGGAGTCATTTTGTCTTAGATGCATAAAAACTGATTCAACATTTGGGGGAGCCAGGGGGAGCCAAGGGGAGCACGGCTCCCCTGAAAGGACCTTTTCTCTAGTGCAACATCCGTTCATTCATCCTTACCTGCAAATGCATCGAGAGCCTTCTTGATGTCGTCAGCGTTGAGGATGCTGCTCATTGCCATTTTGCCTGATGGAGAGAAACAGACTAAGGAAAAGAGAGGAGGGGAGAGAAAAGGGAGAGAGTGCTGAGGTTAGAAACCATGCCTCGGGTGAGCAGAGAGAGCTGAGACGTTCTGGTTATACTAAAGTGACGCTCCGGAGACGGAGCAGGACGTCACTTTGCGAGAGCTCCGGAGGAGCGTTGAGAGAAGCGTCATGGTTTGGTTTTCTTTAAGGAGGACAGCCAGGTCCACATTCGGACATGAAAGGTGAGGCTTTACCGGTCTTTGTGGGGGAATCTGATCATTTTACAAACACACACACTCCGTGCTCAACACGCCAGCAGGAAGTGGAGGAAGTCAGGACTGTGGATAAGGATGAAGCTGAATGGAAGCCGCTTCAATTTTACTTTGAAGTCAAACTAATTCTCGGAGCAATCGTGTTTATTTGGCTGTGAGACAGAAAACCTGATCTTGTCTACAACATCCTGGAGGTTCTGCATTTTAGGCTGCTGTACCTCCATCCTGAAGGTCAGAGTGCAAACAGTCCGTGTTGGGAGGGGGAGGGGTCTTTCATGATGGAGCTGGCTCTCCTGTGGAAGGTTCTGGAGTACTGGTGACCTCTGAAACGGTCGTAACCACCAGCAGCTGTTCACCACCTGTGTGGTGTTTCATGTCCAGGTGAGGTCAGGACTGATGCGGACCTGCAGGAATCTGAAGCTGCACCCTCCCAACCTCAAGGTCCCAGGCCTTGCTGCACGTAGTTCCTGATTCGTAAATCAGAAATGTGCTCAGGGTGGCACACGTTTTCCTGGGACACATTTTTTTTCTAAGAATTACAACGTTTGTGTAGAAAGAGACTCACAGCCTCCAAACCCTAAGTTAGAGCCATTAGAAATGTTGGGACACAGCCTTGACAGCATATATAGGTATTTATCTCATTTCCCACAGTTCAGCCTTGCAGCTTGTCATGCTAACACTGCTACCTGATTGGCTGTGGAGCTCCTTTCTGCTCCACCTTGAATGGATGTTAATACAAACTTTCCAGTTATGTTCCTCATGAAAACTCGTTAAAAAAGAAGCAAACCAAATGATTTAACATTGATTTTATTATAACTGAATTTCATGTTTATGACTTTTATCTCTTGCCCTGCGATGGACTGGCTCTCTGTCCAGGGTGTACCCCGCCTGATTGCCCATTGACCGCTGGAGATAGCCCCCCCCACGGCCCTACGTGGACAAAGTGGGTTCAGACAATGGATGGATGGATGGGTGGATGGACTTTTATCTCTGAGCGACGAGAATGCAATATAAACAAACTGTTGAGACGTTTTATTCCTGCCAAGTGTGGCTGTGAAGGGGGTTCTACTTAAAAAAATAATTAAGTTTTTGTTGTAGAAAGAGGATTAAAACTAATCCAGCACGGTTGCCTAAATGCATTTCATGAACCAGGATGGCTTTACTTAAACCAGGGGTCGGCAACCTGTTCCCATCAAAGAGCCATTATTACCCGTTTCCCACAGTAAAGAAAACACTGGGAACCACAGCGGCCGCGGCGTTGTGGGCGGGGCCTACCCTCAGACAGCTGAGAGCTGCTTTAACCAATAACAAGTGACAGCAGCCAGTACCGGTCGCTCGTGTACGTCAAAGTTATCTTTCATAAAAAAGATAATCAATAAAATGATTTATATAAAGTGGATCCAGAAGTTGTAGCCCGTCTCTGCCTACAATATTTAGATATTTTTCACCCTGTTGGTGGTTTTACTGAGCAGGTGCCACTTTTGTCATACGTTTCTTTTTAAAACATGTTTAGACTGTTCAGAATACAAATCCAGGCTCTGTCACGTTTGATTGTTGTAATTAAACTTTGTAGGTGGGGAAGGTCAGAAAAGGATCCGATCATTTTGTTTTTCCCTCATTTTCAGTGACGGAGATAACGGTGCAGTGCGCCTGGCCCTGATGTTAATCAAGTTTAATTTTATCTATTTTCACAAGAAAACAGAACAGTTAAAAGCAGGGCTTGTGTTGACCAGACAGTTCCCGTATTTGACCGTTTATTTTGACGGAGAAAGAATAGAAAGAATTACCCCGATGCATGCAGACAAACTGACATTTTATTCTACGCACATCGCAGATGTAGTTAAATCACTCAAGAAAAGATTTCCTTCTGAACATCTGAGCTGGACACCGCTCAGTGCAGCTCACTGTCAGCGCGTACGTACGGTGCACAGCGAGCTGAAGATGTGGAAAGGGGCTTGGAGCGCGTTGCAGAACCAGAGCGCATGCGGGAAGATTCCACCGACTGAAGCGAGCGTTTTCCAAACCCGGTCTCTCAGAGAGAAAATCAGAAAATGTTTCCTGATTATGAAACTTTGGCTGAATAGTGCTTGTTCCTGTCTCCAGTGTGGCGACACATCCAGGAGCCTGTCTGAGGAGAATCCCAGAATCTCATATCCTCTTCAGCTCAGGAAGCGCCTATGACTACGCACAAGTGTGACGCATCAACCCGGTCTCACAGTCAGACCGGGTTGGACCTGTTCAGGTTTACGCAGACAATCTTTACATTTAGAATTAGCTTACAGATGTAAAATTTATGCAGCAAAATATAAAGCTTTTTATTTAAATATCCATTCATTATTTTACAAGCACAGAGAGCCGCATCAGATGGATGGAGAGCCGCGGGTTGCCGACCCCTGACTTATACATAACAGACATTAGGGCTGCGCAGTGGCACAGTGGTTAGAGCTGTTGTCTTGCAGCAAGAAGGTCATGGGCTCACTTCCCGGCTTGAGATCTTTGTTTATGGAGTTTGCATGTTCTTCCTGTGCATGCGTGGGTTCTCTCCGGGTACTCCGGCTTCCTCCCACAGTCCAAAAACATGACTGTTAGGTTGATTGGTCTGTCTAAATTGTCCTTAGGTGTGAGTGTTTGTGCGTGCATGATTGTTTGTTCTGTGTGTCTCTGTGTTGCCCTGTGATGGACTGGCACTTTGTCCAGGGTGTACCCCGCCTGATTGCCCGTTGACCGCTGGAGATAGGCAGCAGCCCCCCCCCCCCCCCCCCCCCCCCCCCCAATCGCTGGACCATCCGGTTGTCATCTCGTTGCACCGCTGTACTTCCCTGGGTCTTCCATTAATTTCACACCCATGTACTTAGCAACAGAACACCACTGCTGTGAGAGGTTCTCTGCTCAGTAATATCAAAAGGAGAACCGGCCGGCTGCTACCACTTCTACTTTAGGACAAACTACCAGAGTCCCAACAAGAAAAACACCACTTGAAAGGGACTTTACAGAGTTTTGAATTTTTATGCTCGCTATTGCCCCCTCAGGCCAAAAGCATAACGCCAGCTTCAATAGTAGGCTCGTGCACGAGGCACGCATGCTGTACGTGCACACTCCTTAACGAAAATAACAGCTGAGACAGTCCCGTGTGTGTGTGTGTGTGTGTGGCCCAGAGGGCAGAGGGCAGGAGAACGCAAAGCTAATTAATTAAATAATTTGGTTCTGTACCTTTCTCTTCAGCACAGCTGACAAAGGTTTAAGATGGGTCAGTCCTCCTGCATGCTCAGATCATTCCCTTCCCTTGCTTGAAAAATTGTTCCAAAATGAAAGTTGAACCCACATCTTTTTTATCTGTGAATTCAATGCCGTTCGGCGAGTCTCAAATAAAAATTTGGGCATCTTACTGTAAAAAATATACCATTAATGTAAAAAAGAAACTCTAAATAAATTATGTTCACATCTAGAAACGAACCCAGATTTTCTGCACGAGAGTCCGACGTCTAACTAGGTGAGCTAAAGCACCAGTGATGACTTTGGTATCTGTAACATTTATATCCTTGATGACAGCTAAAACAATGTTCAAAGAACGGTTCGGAGCGAAAATGGCTATTTTGTTGCAAATTTGAAGGAAATGTCTAGAAGAAAGTAGCTAAGGGTCCTCAGAAATGTAGCTAGATTCATCACTAGGCGTTAGGAACAGGGACAAAGTCGCTGAGTTGGCACTACCTCACTCTCTGCTGCTAAAGCTACGGATAGCAAATGCTACGGGCTATGCCTGAGCGTGAACGCGCATGAAGCAGCCTGCTCGACCCGAGCATCTCTCTTTTTCTGTGATTTTACAGAAAACAGGCAATCACAGTAAAAATGCCAGGGCTCATTCTACAGGACCAGGGCATTGCAGGAGAATGTATGAAGAAGACATTTATTATTTCTATACATGTTTTGGCTGTCAAACTTCCATAATGCCCCTTTGAAGTCACGGACAACAAAAGAATTTTGACCTAAAAAACGATGACTGGTGTTTAGCGCTATCTTGTTTCCTCTTGAAATACGGGTGTCTGGTTCTGGCAGAAGCGTCTCAGGGAAGAGACTCGAGGGGAGGGGTGAGTAATATGTAACCGTGTTTATGTTCAAAAACTGGCTTGTTCTGTATATTCTCTAAAGCTGCTTTAAGTGAGTTTTACAGACTGATGTGGAAGAAGCTGAACGCCATTCACATCACAACGATCACACACACTACGTCCTAACTGGTCACGCCAGTTCGTGCAACGCTGCATGACTTTTGTCCAAGTCCCCACCTTAATATCTTTTTTGTTAGAAAATCTGGTAGCGAGAAAATACACAAATCAGGCCAATGTCCATGTTTAAATGGCAACAAGTTCCAACATATCTAGGAAAATTTCCTTCTAGATGTAGAAATGTTTCATTAAGAAATGACTCAAGTCTCAGCTTCAATCTGAGGCAGTTCGTGGATTTCTTCCAGTGGTGTCACAACGGACATCAGTGATGTATGAGCTTGAGGAGAGGCATGGCGTTATCCACTTCGGTAACACACTGCTGCACACACTGATCAATAATGAACAGTGCTTAACTTGTGTGGCCACACATCCCATCTTTTGTCGCTGTAACAGCCCGATCTCCATCTGTGACCTTTAACACGGAGGCGTCTGCAGGGAAAACAAACCACTTAACTTGAAACGAGGATGAGACGGACTTAGTGAGATGTCTCAGCCGCAGAGACGACATCACGCCCCACAGCTGTGTA